AAGATAATACAGTATTGTACCTAAGCACAGGTAATCCACATTATAGTATGTGAGTTCATAAAATACTCGTACAATTTAACAAAGTTTTAAAATATATATGTGAAAGAATGCAGCACACTAATGACACAAGACTACAATAATGAAACATAAAAGTATACTACTAGGCATTCAGCATATAAATGACCGAGATCATTAATTAATATTGAAGTTAAATTATTCATCCAATGAGTAAAATAGACTTACCCTTTGGTACCTATCTTTCACATAGGATTTTATCAATCGGCCTTACCAACTATTCCATACAATTCTACTTTAGACAGAGAAATGCAGATAGAGAGATAAACAGACAGATATTTTCAGTGTCAAAAATTTTCTTCAAATCACAGAAAACGCTGATGAACATATTGGTATCGATGTTGTCCAGCTATTGTTCGAAATTAATTATTAAAATAATCTGTAATCACATCATGATTATCAGTTAACTTCCCATCAATGTTTAAAAACTGACCTGCATTACTAATTTTTCTACCTGTGTCTGATTTTATAATGTTCCAGGTGGCTTTCATTTTGTTACTAGAATTAGAAATTAATTGATTATAATGAAGATTTTTAGCTCCTTCAATAACTCTCACCAAAATAATACAGTATGTTTTATAATAATATTTCAGATCTGGCTCATACCGTGCTGAATCTATGGGAAAATTGAAGAATCTCAATCCTGTTTCTTCACTGGAAGACGTGCATGCTTCAGCAGAACATTTTTTTTCTTCCCATCTATACTGCAAGAAACAATACAAAAATTATAACAGAATCAAAGTACACTCTAACTTTTTTGAGATTCTACGGTCCTTCTTTAGGCTGCACTGAAAGAAATACGATTTGGATGAAGTATCGTAGTAACACTAACTTCACGTTTCTTTCTAATTTCACTGGGCGTAGTACGCATAATCCATATACATAAGTAACACACAGATGTAAATTCATGCGTAAATGTCGACTCTCGTTTCACAACATCAAATCAAAGTCCCTACTTACTAATTAATCTAATTAGTTGCACAACATACCTCAACGGCGTACACACATTTTCAGAAACTACGCAGTATTACTGAAACAACCGCCCAAAGCTTTCAACCGAAATTTAAGATCCTCTGATTGGCTGACACTCATGCGATTCGATTATTTGCGGTAGGTGTATTATGACCGATTACAGTCATTTCCAGACTATCTAGTTCATGTTGCTGAACATAGATGGCTAGTCTGCATGTTTCCCTCTCCCCTATGGGAGTTACACCCCCTGCTCCTGAACCTAAACGACACACACAAACTCCGTACCATACGATCACACTACCTTCACACGTCTGCAAATGTAACCGTTGTGGCGCGAAATAAAAAAATTCATTCTGCCATCCATAGCCACATAGAAATCGATACTTGAGTGCACTCACCAGTGCCGAGAGTACGATCGGTAAAAAAAGCATGTTATCATACCACTAACCTGTACATACTTTACATAATAGCAATAAATAATTTTGCCACCCTGATCTCTTGCGCTGCAGAGATTCTTAATTCGCTTACTGGGGAGGTGGAGTCCAGCTGGGCCCATTGTAGTGGCACCGGGTGATTATGATGGAGAATTTGGTGGAATGGAGATTGGCAGGGGAAACGCCCCAGCACCACTTTGTCCACCACAAATCCCACTTTACCAGACCCGGGATCGAACCCAGGCCGCCACGGTGGGAAGCAAGCAACTAACCGCTTGAGCCACGGCACAGCCTTGCAGAGGTTCTTNTTGGTGTTTTTTTTTTTTTTTTTTTGGGGGGGGGGGGGTTGAGTTTAGTATCATTTCACTCATATCCGACATCAGAAAGTTTCTCGCATGTGTCTGCAAACAGTGAACATTTCATTTACATCAATCCACCACCACCTTACTGAAATGCACTGGACATTGTGAACTACAGGTCCTGGAAAACTAGTCAGGACTGATTGAATGGCACACATCAGCTGCTGGTCTACACCAATGATGTGAATGTACTGGGAGGCAACATAAATGCCACAAAAAAAAAACAGAAACTTTAATTGACATTAGTAAGTCTGGAAGTAAATGCAGAGAAAACTAAGTATATGTTGCTGTCTCGTCACCAGAACGTAAGGCAAAATCATAACATAAATATACCTAACAGATGTTCTGAAAATGTGGGACAGTTAAAATATTTGGGAACGACAGTAACAAATCAAAATTTGATTCAGAAAGAAATTAAGGGGAAATTGAATTCACATAATTCTCCCTACCATTCAGTCCAGATTCTTTTATCTTCACATCTTCCATCTAAAAAATTAAAAATTAGAATACACAAAACTATATTTTGCCTGTGGTTCCATATGGGTGTGAAACTTGGTCTCTGACATTAAGGGAGGAACACAGATTAGGAGTGCTTGAGAACAGGTTGATGATGAGAACATCTGGACCAAATACAAAGTGAATGGACAGCCAATAAAGTTCGGAATGAAGTTCAATATACAGATCACATGAGGTGTTGAAAATGCTGTCCCTCTACACATAGACATCTTTTGCAATTAACTGTTCCATTAAAAACACAGGTACAACAATCCTTCTTGCACTTACAACACACCAGACACTAACTTTCACTGGATGGAGAAGGACTTCATGGGTTTGATGTTGATTCTGTGAACTCCAACAGCGATTAATTTACATATTTATGTATCCCTGCTAGTGAAATCACACTTTAACAGAAAAGAATACCAACTGGGGACTGATATCACCTTTGAAAACAGATATAGAAACAAACTGCAAAAATGAACACTGCTAGCTGGATTGCATGGCTGCAAGGCATGTGTCCATTACCGTTGTTCTATGTGGTCTAAGCTTCCGCAATCGTGTTGCCATTTTTGCACTAGATTTCGACATTCCAGTCTCTTGAGCTAGATGTTGCAGTGACTTTTTGATGTATGATCAAGCCCCTGTGTCACCTAACTTCTCCTCATTAAGCACTCGGCGCTTAGGTTTTTGTTTCTTGTATATTAAGAGTCCTGTTGGTTTAAGTTTATTCACCAAATTGTGAATTGTTATCTGTTTAGAATTCTTTCATCAAGAAATTTACATCAGAATTTTTATGGAATTCCTAGCAGATCCGTATTTCATGTAGGTGTCATACAGAAATATACGTTGCTCTAAAGTATACCGCATCAAGACATTCCACACTGCTCACTAACTGCAACTAATAAATGGCTAATGGAGATGATAACTTCTGCCTACTGGTGACAAATAAAAAAAACCCATGCATGAACCACACTGCTTGCCATGAAACATAATGGTGTCAAGTGGTCTGCATGATAATTACGTCCTTTCATTCCAGAAGTTAAAAATGATAATGAACAGAGTTCACGTCAGAGAAAGACTCATCTGACAGTAAAAGTGAACCTGAAAACAGCATAAATGGATGGCATAGTAATGCAAGCAGAAGCTAAAACACAATTTAGTAAAGACCAAAATATCATTGGGATTCTGGTGGTTCCCATCCTTTCATTGGAGGTCTAAGTGGACTGTAGATACAAGAGGCACCCTATGTCAAATACACCGAAATATTGTTTTTGGTCCATTCTTGAAGAGTTCTATACCTCATTTAACAGTAATATCATGAAATGAAACTAACTTTTTCATATAACGAGACTTATACATTTTTCTATATCAGTCAGCGTGCTTACATCTCTTTTTGGTATGACGAGTAATGCCCATGATAAATTTTACAGCCCATCTGAACACTGAGCCATAGATGAAGTTGTTGTGCTCTTCATAGAGGGACATCTTTTTTTACTTGATCAGTCTCACTAATGATATTGACCACATCATTTATTATCCTATGGTAGAAAAATAGACCACCAAATGTTTCATTGGACTCTGGTTCAAAATCTGTTGGAAATGAGTGCAGACACCTCACCCATAATCCACACCAAGAGGAAGATCCAAATGCAAAGCCAGCCTTGTAAAGATCCATGTTTCTGTATTTAGCATATAAAGTTAAAACTTCTAAATCAAGGTTCCTTCACAATGTGAGAAGAAAAACATTTCTAGAAATGCAAGTGTTGCATATGTGGATTAATATACCATACATAATACTGTACACTGTTTTCTTTCAGAAATCTATAAATTTTCTTGGAAACAGTTCTTATAGAAGTAAATAATACTGTAGAATTTGAAAATATGTTTCCTTTTGAATAATTCTGAATAGAACATTAAGCAGTTAAAGTTTCAAAGATATGTTTTTTAACACTAACACCATCACTAGCTGACGCCCCCCCCCCACACACTTAAAATCTGGTAATCACAGACATAGTATGGAAGATTTAAACTTCCTATCCCTGTATAATTAGGATTAATTACACCATTTCAACTGCAAGAGTTAAATAATGTTGAGCAAGATGGAAATGTGGCCATAAATGGAGGGTAGATATTGATTTCTATGGAAGCCATCATGATACATTTCACAAGGTTTCACCTTAAGAGACAAGAAAAAATTAAACTTCAGCCAGGAAAGTTTGTAGCCAGGCTGAGCTTCAAAGTGTGTGGCTCCACATACAAGTTAAGTGTGTTTCTGCTACACTAACCTCCTTGTTCCATGTGAGAAAGATGTGTGTCCTTATTTCAGTGTAAATAGTGAACAAATGTATGAGGAAGCACGTGTTTATTATCTCATGATGCAATCAGCACTGCATGTAAGTGCAATGTTGCACAGAAATAAGGCACTGTCTACTTGTATCTTGAAAAGAATCAAGCAAGCTATCACAGATCAAAAGAATCTTGTAGTGTAAAGAATAACAAATTACATGAGACTGTGAGGATCATGGCTCGGTTCCGTGCTCAACGTACACCTTTAACAATTTTATGGTCATGATTTTTCTCCCTGGTATGTATTAGGGTATGTTCCTTGAGGTGACTTATTCGAGTAAATTTTTTACAACACACATTACACTCATGGGGACGTTCTCCTGTGTGTATAAGTGAATGAGTCTTCAGGTCAGACATACGGATGAACTTCTTGTTACATATAGTGCAGTGGTGAGGTCGTTCTCTTGTGTGAATTAGCGAATGTTTCCTGAGATCTGTCATCCGCGTGAATTTCTTACCACATACTTGGCACTCATGAGGCTGTTGCCCTGTGTGAATAAGTGTATGTTGCTTGAGGTCAGTTAAATCTCTAAACTTCCGTTCACACATGGTACATTCATGAGGCCGCTGTCCTGTATGTATCAATAAATGTCTCTTAAGAACATTCAGATTTCTAAATTTCTTATTGCATTGTGTACATTCGTGTGGCCTTTCTCCTGTATGAATCAGTGTGTGTGTTCTCAAATCACTAGGAAACGTAAATCTTTTTCCACAAACACCACATCCGTGAGGACGTTCCCCAGTATGCGTTAGAGCATGTTTCTTGAGGTGAGTTATTCGTGTAAATTTCTTAATACATATAGTGCACTTATAAGGACGTTCACCACTATGTATCAAGATATGCCTCTTCAGATCAGAGACTAGTACAAACTTTTTATTACACTCACTACATTTATGTGGTCGTTCACCGGCGTGTAAGAGTGAGTGTGTCTTGAGGCCAGTTATTCGTGTAAATTTCTTATTACATAAAAGGCATTCATGTGGCTGTCCTCTTGTGTGTATTAAGGAATGCTTCTCAAGGTCATCAATCAGTGCAAACTTTCTGCTGCAAACATGGCACTCATGAGGTCTATCAGCTATGTGGAATGATGACTGAATGCAGGGGGCAAATGACACAGCTAGCTCAGTTGCCAAAGTTGCTTCCCTCTCATCACCTTGCTGACTGGTAGTCTCCATTACACTGAAAATACAATGTCCATGTCACTTCAATTCGTTTTCTTGTTTAAAATTGTAAAGTGGAATGATAATTATTACAGTGCACTAACAGGGCCTTTGTTAGGAAACACTAAAGAGACGAAGGCATAAAATATATTAGGTTCTGAGTCAGATATATCATACTGACACATGTAATTATCCTTACTTTCTTTTGAAATGTTAAAAGGTAAAAAGATTAAGCTATCCTGTAACAGACCATGGGGGTCCATATGGTTGTGAGACAAGGAGGTTCCCCCACATTTTCTAGACAACTGGCTCACAGATGGAGGTGAGGTTGTCAGCCTTATGTGCTGGCTGCCCTTTGCTACTCACTTCTGTTCAAGGCTGAGTTGAACCCAAGGCCATAATGCAGCTGGAAGGATTAAGCCAACTGAAATATCCAATGACCTCACTGGGAATCAAATCCATGACCTTCTGGCTTGTAACACAGTGCCTCAACCAAATATGCTATCACAGGCCCCTTTCAAACTGTTACTTTCTCACATTCATGCTGAATCAATCTAATGGTTTTAGGAACCAAGAAACAGGAATTTGCTATGCACACAATTGTAGTTCGAACAATAACTTAATAAAACCACAGTTGCATTTTGTAATAATTATATCAAGTGATAAAGTCTGCATTTTTTGGCATGTACTTTAATGTTCAGTGAAAAGTGAGTGGGACATTTTCTTACACAAACCATAGAAAAAGCTATTATTTATAAAGATGAACTTATGGTTGAGTGAACAATGTTACTAGAGGTGACTAATCTTCATAAGAATGTGCCTTTCTGACTTCAGCTGCTTCTAATACATCTTAAGTCTTCTGAAAAACATATTTTTCAGGGCTGTAATGCCATGTAGTTCAAAGAGAGCTATGCCCTCTGAAGATGGTCTTGCATGACCAAAACATGTCAGGATTTTAACAATATGTGATCAACACAAGGAAATAAACTACATATATTTACACAGTAACTTGGGCCGTGCCATAGCTCAAGTGGTTAATTGCTGGTTTCCCACTGCGGTGGCCCAGGTTCGATCCTGGGTCTGGTGAAGTGGGATTTGAGGTGGACAAAGTGGAACTGGGGCAGGTTTTCTCCAAGTACTTGGTTTCCCCTGCCAATCTTCATTCCACAATCACCCTCACCTATCATCTGGGGCTGGTACAATAGGCCAGAAGTGGCCACAGTACAAGGGACTTAGTCTCACCCCACTAGCAATAAAAAAAAATACACAGTAACTCACACTTACTCTAACATAGAGAGTGTTATCAGAACAATAAACATTATCAAAACACTACTAGCTTACAAAAGACACACATTTCAGCATGGGTGTTTTATTTGGGAGCCCATAGGATTCAACAACTAACCGCTGTGATGGTTAATGTACCCCCATATAAAGTAAGTACGTAACTAAAGTAGAGGTATCCCTGTAACAGGCCATGGAGGCCCATAGGGTTGTGAGATGTTGAGGTTCCCACATTTTCTAGACTATCGGCTCTGAGATGGCAACAAGGCTGTCAGCCCTACACGCCAGCCGCCCTTTACTTCCAACAATATTCCAAGAATATTCCTGGTACTCATATGTGTCAGAGGCTGAGCCAACCCCAGGGCCATAGTGCGGCCAGAAGGATTAGGTCACTTGAAAAAAATCCAATGACCTCATCAGGACTTGAGCCTGCGACCTTCCAGCTTGTAGCATAGTGCCTCAACCAACTACGCTACCGTGTGCCCTCAATGTACTCCAATATATGAGACTTAAATGTAGTAAGTTAAAAGTTGCAAATATTTTGATCAATAATAAAAATACTGATTGCCGAAGTCAGGGGGTCAGCACTCCTGTGCTTTTTACCTGAGGAGGACAGACTACATTTCTTACCTGCAGGCTGGCTATTCTGACTGAAGCTTTTCTATACTATTTATCTGTGACTTACTTAATGATACTGTCATTGTTTCAGCCTATATAATGATAAATGACAGAGTGATTAGTAAATAATGAATTGGATATGATGTGGACAGAACTTGTGGTGGCCTAATCTGAGATACCTCCCAGAATGTTTCTGGAAGGGCTAAGAAAAGATATGAAAATATTCAGTTAGGACAGTCATTTGAACATGCGGCCTCCCACACACAAATGACTGCTACCCATTCAATTGTGGGAATAAGTTTTTTGTGGTTTTATATGGCCCCTTGAGGCATTTTCTATGCAGTCCACACCAAGGTGTTATAACCAGGATAAGTTTAGAATTTAGTAAATTGTGAGACAATGGCCAGTCAGTATGGACGTGAACATGGAAGCTGAGGGATCTACAGTATTGGAAGCCATTACAAGACAATGACTGGTAAACACACAGCAGACTGAGAAGACTTAGCACATGTTGAAGTGAACTGCTGAGCATGTGAATTAGCGATAGCACCATAGTTACTTGTAGTTATAACCTGTGTTCAATAAATCCAATTACCAATCCAAACCCAGTCTATAGTCACTCCATCATGTAACATTATTCTAACAGAATACATTTGCATGATACGATTCTTTGCACAAAAGAGAAATATGTATATGACATCAAATGTCTCACTCTGACTGACTGACAGATTAAATTGTACAAGGTACTTCTTGAGAAATTTATAGCAAACTCAGCAGCTCAATAAATTCCACTTTTCTGTGGAACCTGAATGTTCATCACCATATTTACAAAATCCTGTCACTGGATCCTGAACCAAATGAATTCAGTCCGCACAATATTATGTAAAGATACATCTATGCTAACTCGTCCTCCAAGTGGTCTCTTCTGCTAAACTTTAATGACAAAAGCATTGTATCATTTTATCATTTCTTCAAGATACTGCATGTCTTGCATTTCACATCCTTCTTGATTTAAATGCCTTGACATTATTAGGCAAGGAAAGCAAATTACAATTCTCTCAATCAGATCAAACACTTCTCACTTCCATGGATTTTTAATAATGTTTTGGGAACTGGACTAATTAAAGTTCTAAGTAAAGTGACGGGTAAAAGGTAAAAGAGGTAAAGTTGTCCCTGTGCTTCATCAGTTAAGAACCACATCATAAAGACGTATGGGGGAGTGGAGATATAGCTCCACCAATCTTGACCTTGGCACTAGATGGGGGTGAGGTCAGCTTCACACCTCGGCTACTCCATCCTCAGGGCAAATCCTGGGTAAGCACTGGACAGGAAGTCCAACAGCTCATCTGGATGCTGTGGAGTAAAGAAAAATCTCTTACACCTGCTGAGAAGTGAACCCTGGCCATCCAGCTCATAGTCTGTTGCTATACTGACTGAGCTATCCTGGTTCCTATCTCTGATTGGCCATGGCCAAAAAACTTTCTTTTTTGTTTTATTAATAAGTTCTATGACAAATTTTTAAAACCCCATCTGCTGAGAAACAGCTGATGCATACAGATAACCAGACAACCACAATGAAGATATATGTCAGTGTTTTAAAACTCACTTAACATTCTGCAATGACTATACAGGATGTATCAAAACTCAAAGGCAAAACTTCAGGATCAGACTCCTCATATAGAGAGAAGAAAAAAATGTATGACAACATGTTTCCAGAAATGCATAATTACAGAGTTATCCAACCTTTTAGTAATGTTAGTGCAATCTGACACTCCTAACACTGTTGCACTGTTACACTGAATACGTCTGTAACACCAGCTGGAACACTCTGTCACATATCAGAGGAAATGTTCAAAGTGACCTCCTCCTGCCTGAATACAGGGGTCCACTCGTCGTTGCATTGAGTGCCGCACACAATCAAAAATGCCTGGTGTAGTGCGTACTGTCTGACAGGCTGCCACAATGCATGCATGGAGAGTTGGTACATCAGCAACAGCAGTCGAATACACAACAGACTTTAAGTGTCCCCACAGGTAAAAGTCCAGGGGGTTTAAGTCAGGAGAGTGTGGTGGCCAAGCAATCGGTCCTCCTCTACCTATCCAGTGCAGGAGCACCATCATGCATGAAGTACAGCTGTCGACGGGATGCTAGTGGCATGTCTTCCAAGTAATTAGGCAATGTAATAAGCAAGAAATCTGTGTAGTTCTTTCCATTAAGCTTGTCCAGAAGAACAAAGGGTCCCAACAAACTATCACCAACAATGCCTGCCCAGATGTTAATGGAAAACCTCTGTTGATGAGACAATTGGATAGTTGCTCTGATAACTCTGTAATTATGCATTTCTGGACCCATGTTGTCACACACTTTTCTCTTCTCTCTATATGAGGAGTCCATTCCTGAAATTTTGCCACTGAGTTTTGATACACCCTGTAAATTCCATAATTAAGCTTAAAGGGTATGAGGATGTTGACTGGCCTCATCTGGGTCAAAATAAGGTCCAGTGAAGGGCTTTTATGAACATGGAAATGAACATTTGGGTTTCATAAAACGCATGGGAATTTCCCGACCACCTGAGTGACTATCAGCTTCTCAAGAATGTTGCTTCACTGAGTTAGTTTATATACTGACCGATTTCTTTCAATATCTTCCAGCTCCATATATTCTTGCATGTATTGCTCTGTATCTACAGTACCAGAAGTTATGTCAGAACACTCTCCATCTTTCTGCGTGCCAATTTCTCCATTCACTTTTTCTTTAACTGACACAATGACCATATTCTCATGACATATATCATCTGGGGCAGTGAGTTCCTCTGCCTCCATATCCCATTTAACTCAGGCATCTAGAACATCATCCTGTTAAGGAAAATAAACACGCTATTGATCTCCTACATAATAAGGGGAGATGTTAGAACTGGAGTCCAAATCAAATTAATGTAACTAACTCTGTGGTTCCTGGGAAGGCAGGCAGTTATTGAGCTGCTAAAGAAACTGTCACAACCCACATTCTTCTGCTAACTGCATCAGTTCAATCAAATTCTCTGTTTTATATCTATACATACAGCTATTTTTGTGTGTGTGTGGTGGGGTGGGGGGAGATGCTGGTACTTGTGAGCTTGTCTCCCTTGTAACGTTTGAACCAAATGCTTCATTTTCACAAAATCCCGTATGAATGTCATGCCAGTGGAACAAAGTGTGATTATTAAAAAAAAAAACATGTTTAATTCAAGAAGAATACTTTCTTCTGGGACACAACACCGTGTAGTCTGTTGAAATCAACCAACGTTGTGAGCTGAGAAACAAACCAGCGTGAAAGCAGGTGGAACACTCAGCCCATTTTTTGACCCTGAAGATGTATGCAATATGTTCCTCTGAAACGTCGGTTGATTTCAGCGGTCTACACGACATTATATCCCAGAAGACAGTACTCTTCCTAACCATCTCTGTGAGAACTTCAGATTCCACATACATAATTCATTTTGATCATGGATATTCTGTTTCTTGGAAAAAGGGGGCACCAGTATGGATATTGTTGCATATTCCATTTTGTGTGTGTGTGTGTGTGTAATGGTGAAGTGAAAACTGTGAAAATTATGCCTGCTGTGGTCAGTTAGTGGCCACATTCTTCACTAATCCAACCATATCAATTCAGATATTATTTTACAAGTATTTTGCTATGTGAGATTTAAGGTTCTCATGGCAGTGACTATAAAGAGTACTATTTCCTGGGATGTTACACAATCTAAGTTTACTTACATATTGGAAGAACATACGGCCTCAATATCAAAGGTAAAAAAAAAAACAAATCAAGCAAACATGCAAAAAAGCTTGAGTGCTGCCTACAGTGTTTTCTCTTCAGCCCTGAAGACAGAGGCAGTTTTTCTCCAAAATATTATTGAACTTCAATCAGACTACATGGTGTAACACCCCTGACAGCAACACTCTTCAGGTATTTGTTATTTGTTTCTCTAAGAAATGTTTTATTTTTCTCCCATCTCAGCCTGTATGTTGAAAGTGAGTTTTTTCAGCCAATATGATATAAAATTCATCATACAAAATCTAAATTGGAGACGTGGTTGTCTTACCAGTGGATTCAACGTCTGAATCCTGAAATGGTTTGAGTGTGGACTTTTTTTATATAAAAATTAAGGCAAATATGAAGAATGTAAAACCACTCACTGTGGTCTGAAGTCCACATTAAGCAACAGATCCTTCTGCAGGAAAAGAGTACTTGGTACCTCATTGGATAGAAAACTGGGCTGACCACAGAGCTGGTCTTAAGGCTGTGAAGAGAAAAATCTGACCTTCATTCCATAACATGGTCACTATACTAACTCAGCTTGGAAAAATAAGAATTGTAGGGGAAAATAAGACAGAGAGAATAGATGTTAGGAGTAGGAGGAGAGGTACTGCTCAAGTGGCTGGAGGTTTCTACAGTTCCTAACCAAGACGTATTGATGGTGGCAGATGTTTTGGTGTTTAGCTTCTCATGAGGACCTGGAAACTTGCAAAAAGACCACCCCTCTACACCAACAACTAGAAGACATGGTGGGATGATATGCGAAGACAGTGGAGGAACACCTAAGGAATTTTATTTTGAAGCACTGGAGAGGTTGAGATGACAGGCTACCTCTCCTCCTGCTGGCCTAGAGAGAATCGGCCAATAAGACCACATGCACAACACCACCCCACATGGTAGTCAAGAGACAGATATGTCTTCCTTGTGACCTGAAGTTTGGGATTTCCCCTGAAAAGTAGCAGTCAATGACTGACTACATGACAGTCCTCATGAAACGGCTGCACATCACCCATCATTATCAACATCCTGCCATCCACAGGATGACAGCCCAATATGACCAGGATCTGAGGAAGGAGACCGAGTTTGATTGTATCACCTGATGTGGACGAGAAGAAAGTCAACTAAGCTGCAGCTTGGCCGCACCACAGCTCAAGCGGTTAGTCACTGGCTTCCCACTGTGGCAGCCCAGGTTCGATCCTGGGTCTGGTCAAGTGGGATTTGTGGTGGACAAAGTGGCACTGGGGCAGGTTTTCTCCAAGTACTTTGGTTTCACTTGTCAATCTTCATTCCACCAATTGCTCCACAATCACCCTCACCTATCATCTGGGGCTGGTACAATAGGCCAGAAGTGGCTGCAGTACAAGGGACTTGGTCCCACCCCACTAACATTAGCATTAAAAAAAAAAGAAAAGCTGCAGCTGCTTTGGAAAGGCCCTTACAAGGTGATCACTCAGATCAATGATATTCTCTACAGGATCCAATGACATTCTACGGTGAGACCATCATGCTACACTTGACCAGACTGTCACCATATCTAGGGACTGCTCAGGACAAGCAGCCCTCAGGAGGGAGCAGTGTCATGGGAGATGAGTGCAGTGGGATCATGTCACCTGGCCTATATGCACCCCTCATACCATCAGGAATGTTCAGGAGACTGATGGGCTGATGGTGAAGAATGAGGTTGCCCATAAAAGTTCTAGAATTTTCCCTACAGTCTATATGCCTATATAAAGGGAAGTCAGTAAGTGAGTCAGTCACGAAGTTTCTCAGTTCTCAGTTCAGTTTAGTATAGTGCAGGGTAGTTATGAGGAGAGACCAATACTGTGACCAATGGTGTTGCTGTGAAATACAGCATAAACAAAGAACCGGTCTCTCAGGTGTAACTGGTTAGGAACACTGCAACCGTAACTGCTCCAGATATTGATAAGTTTATGTATGGGACACACATTGCACAACATGCTATTTACAGGTTTCTAACTGCTGACTGAAATTACTTGAGTGTTGGTCAAACTCAGCAGGTAAATTCTGTCTTGTTTTTTGTCAAGTTACTGATATGGAGTCAAGAAAGCTTTATGGTTGTATTACATCTGCTATTACTTTTGATGGAAATAAAATATCATATGTGCATAACACGCTATATGTGATACAAACGATATCAGCAAGGATAAATACACTTCCTGACAACTATCTGTTTTAAATATGTTTTGAGTACAGGCGTGTGACAAAATAAGAACATACAGTGAAACAATTTTAGCAGGACTCATGCATACCCCACGATGTCACATAGAGCCAAAACATGTCATATGTGTATGAGACAGAAAATAAACGTTGCATTTAAGACAGTAATGTATGATGTACAAAACAGTAATATTAATGCAACAGAATGCTTAAGTACATAATGTTTCCTGACTTCAGCACATTTATAACATATGCATGAATTTTTTAATATACAAAATAAGAACAAACATACAGTTAAAGGGTGTTAAAATGTCACTGTAAAACAACTAGGCAAATAGTTACATGTCTAATGTTCACTGAGCTGTGCTCTACTTCTAAATATTACCAATTATAAACAAAGTGCTATTTTTGTGATATGACTGAAAAGTCGTTCACCTGCAATCGTTACGTGTGCAAAATGTTTAAAATACACTTCAAACGTAAATACTGCAAAAATATAACCAATTACATGTACAATTTGTGGTTTTCACAGGGGTGGTTATCAGCAGTGTTATCTTCTGGGACATAATGCAGCATAGACCGTTGAGAATCACGGGATTACACAGCGTTATATCGCAGAAAATAGTACTCTTCGTAACCAATTAAACATCTTAAGTCTGCTGGTGGAAGCACGAATTACTATAAAATGATACTGGATAATGCTTTCATTAACATGTATACACAAATCCGGCTTGATTTCTAAGTTGGCTCTAACATGCATAACTTAACAACAACGAAGCACAACAGACCACAGCAGGTCGCGGTGCAAGAGCCGATTAGGCCCACCGCTTATACATTATACAAAACAACGAAACGTGTAGTCTGTAATGTTCACAACCCATAACACTGAGACGATTACAGCACATTTATTATACCTATGATATTGGGTGTTTATACTTCGGTTTCTATAATAATATTCACGTCGACTATTAGTCACAATGGTCACCATTACTAACAAACAACAAAATCAGATACGTAGAGAGACGTACACCACACACATAGTGTACATTTACAGTTCAACCGCAACATCGACGGATCAATACCCACAATATCTGTCGTATGTTGTTATACATTTAGTGATCCGTGTTGGTAGAAGTAGATTCGAAAGGGTTCTGATTGTTCTGACATTGGCGTAAAGGCTCCCACAGATGCGATACTCAGCTCGGTACGGTACGGGACGATATCTACTTACATTGCGGTTAATGGAGGTCCGCACACTGCCGCGGTACTCCGAGGAACGCGATATTATCGCAGTCGGTGTATGGCCTCGGTATTTCGGTCTACCGAGCGCACTCGGTAGACCGCTCGGTATCGCAGCGGTAAATAGTCATGGATCCGTCTTTGGAGGAAGAAGTTTTGCTTTTAGCTGTCGCTCTTGATGAAGACGAAGGTGAATCCCGGCAAGTATTTTACTGAACACTAAATCTGCGTAGTTCTTTTCCTCCACATATTCAGTATGCCATATATATGTACAAATATTTACAATTCCATAACGAGTCTCTAATTAAGTATGTATAAGTGGTTGCTATGTGTGTTCGTATTTAGGCGAAAGAGACGAATCACTTGGGTTCATGATATAAACTTGTCAAGAGAGGAACTAAGGGAGTTTTATACATTGATACCTCAACTCCTGAAGGACGAAAAACGGTTCTACATATATTTCAGGATGAAAATTGACAGGTTTGATGAAATCCTGAGAGCCATCGGGCAAGAAGGTATCACTAAACAATACACCAATTGCCGGAGGCCTATTCTTGCCATTAAGTGGAGGTTTTTTTTTTTGAGACCTATAGAACTGAAAGGAGGAAATATAAAACACACTGTATCAGCAGCGTGTTTGCTTCATAATTTTCTACGTCTCAAAACCCGTGATGAAAAAGTACAGGGAAGAACTGCTACGAGTGGAGCCACTGGAAGGAGAAATGTTCCCTATCCAGCCTTTACGTCTCCCAAGGGCGGCAAACGTTAGCTACGCCATTAGAGAGCGGGTTGTTGCGTACTTCAACTAGATGACTGCCCCTGGAATTCATGTTAGTGAACGGAACTGGTGCATAGCCTACACTAAGAATGCCCACAGTTACTGTATACTTAACCCTATATAAATATATACAGATTTTTCTACTTGCTGTCTCTGTTCATTGTTAACAGCCAATTCCTTCCACTTTCTATCCTTAGCACGTGAATCCTTGTACATCGGACGATGAGTATCGTACAATAAAGCATTTTCTTTGACGAACTCTATTATTTGTTCCATTGGTTACCCATGTCTTTTCACTTACGTATAGATCGATATAGATACTGATTGAGTGTGAGTCATGGCCAGCTGGTTATCGGGTGTCAAAGATTCCCGAGTTCCCGAATGTCGCGGCTGTGTGCGCGGTCCACTCGGTAAACAGCCGCTCTCGTCCCGAGTGCTATATCGTCCCGAATCGTATCGCGTCTGTGTGTGGGAGCCTTAAGGCATTCAGAATTACTGGCTATTTTTTGCGTGCCATTGCACGCTATTGTGGCTCTGATCCATGGGGTATACAACATATAAAAATGTAGTTTTATCCCTGTGCTTAATTAAGCATCATGTTATTAAGACGTATAGAGTAGTGAACGCACAGATCCACATATTCTTAACCACTGCAATAGATAGAAGTGATTTGTCAGCTTTACGCTCCGACCGCTTTACCCCTGCTCCTATCCAGAACTGCAGATAGATGGCGAGTAATAGCACGGGTTACCAAATAATGTAGTTTCAGAGCACAGATTACTAGATGGGATGCATCGTTGCACCCGGCGTCGTAGAGCTCATGTCAGATGGAAGGTTGATTCTCTTTCAACTTCTGTAGTATTTATTCCGGTGCAGTAGGTGGTTGTTTCTCAAGCCTTCCATGAGAAAAGTTTCCTTGGCGAAGAACTATACAATTCGGGATGCCGTATAGTACTATGCACAGGGGACCTTTTTCAGAAAGGACGTGTAATATGCTGCATGTTTGTCTATGTAATGAGAGCATAGTACCGCGCTGGAGTTTGTAAACGTATCCAAATTACGCTTACAGACAGCTGTTTATTATTATCAGGAAACGCAAACTCATGAGTTGTTGAGTTGTGGTTTGGTTGTGAACGTTGTGAAAGTGACTGTTTCATAACAAGCCTAGTTTGCTTGCTTTGCATAGGTGTTTTGCATTTGTACTAACCGTTGAATATTTTCACCTGTATGGGAACCTCTACGTCTAGAAGAATGGACGATAGTGATTCTCGATCACGGTCGGATGATAGTTCTGATCAAGATTCTGATTTAACTGCCATCTTGCAATATCTCATACGAAGGTTGGTCGTCGAGGAATGACGTTACATTCCTTGCCGTGTTCATATAGATTTATTAAAGTTCGAAGTACAGCAGTATAGAAACTTGACATCCTTCTGTTAGATACGAGCCTCTTTAATCGGTAAATGACAAATATGTAAGTTTCATTAAGAACATGGAAAAGGGCAAAGACAATGCAGTGTCAGCCTGCAGTATAAAGCACATAATTAATTTTGAACATTATGTATTTCATGTGTTGCCATATTGAGATAACTGTTAAATTCATCCCCAAAATATGTTCAACATCATATCTGAAGCTATCATTTATGACATGCTTCAAGTGCTAAATCAAAATTTGGACGTGGGAAATTGAAGTTTAGTATCCCATTGTGATTCTCTGTGTAAACAGATGTGTAGTTGTATGTTTGGGTAAAATATAATGGTAAAGTTCTCCCTGTGCTTAATTAAGCAGCACGCCATGAAGATGTATAGGGGAGTGGAGGTTTAGCTCCATCATTCTTGGCCTCGGCGCTAGATGGAGGTGAGTGGTGAGCTTCATGCCCCAGCCGCTTTAGACTGGACAAAGAGGCCCCGGTACTAATTTGATAGGAGGCTGGGTAACCCCCAGAACTGGCCTGGACACTGTGGAGAAGAAAAAAAACTCTTGCCCCTACCAGGAATTGAACTCCGATCATCAGGCCCATAACCTGTCGCTCTATTGGCTGAGCTATCCCAGTTCACTTTGGGTAATAAAATTTGTGACTTAAATTAGTTCCAACCACTTGCCTGCCACTGATGGATTCCTATCATACTTATTGCTTGTATTTTACCATGATAAAGTATTAATTCTCATACCTCTGTGGACTGTTTTGATATTAATTTATTTCATTAAATGTTTGTCCCAATAAGCAAATGTCAGTCACCTCCCACATGACATTGAGGTCTGTTTGTGGATGGGCATTAGTGCTAGCAGTGAACCAGATTTACTGGTAGTTAATGATAATGACATTACTCTCCAACAGTGACTAATATGTGCTGAATATAAATAGGCAGTGGCAAGCACAAGCACCTTTTTGGGTGATGTCCACTGATTAGAATCTATCCTGCTCCAAATATTTTATAGGGGTTGGCGATTTTTTATTATGGTTAAAGTCTAGAGCATGTTATTTTAATTTAGGTCACCATAGATTGTGCTAGTGTTTTGTTTAGCCATTTGATAATATTTCCAGACAGTGCAGAATATGTGTCTATTGGTATATGTGTGCAGTGCAGTGATCACTTAGAAGTATATTTCCTCACAAGTTGTTGTGATGTAGTTTCAATATTTATCAGTACATGTGTGTAGCTCTAAATTTTTTCATGTATTTTGACATGCTTTTATGTTTTTGCAATGTTACATGGGTAAAAGGTCAGAGAAGCATAAACAAAACACAGATTTATGTAAAAATTTGTTCATAATTGTGGGAACTGCCCACATTCAAGCAAATGTGACAACACAAGTATCATTGCTTAGCAGGGGTGAGTAAACAGCTGTTGCTAGGCAAAGCCCACAACAATATGGACAGTGACATGTTTTCTATATGTCCGACTCAAGGGTATATAAGAAGATACATTGAGTGTGGGACTCGGACTCGCGACCATATTTTGATTTGAGACTTCAAAATACAGTTGCGAGTCTCAAGNGAGTCGTAGGAGGCGACGAAAAGGGAAGTCATAGTCGCGAGTTCCAAGGGACTCGGACCCGATAAACACTGCGCTGGCAACGACCAGGACCATATACAAAAGACCGACCCGTTCTCTCGTCAGAGTGGATGCCCCACAAAAAAAACAAAGCCGTAATGTTCAACAGTAATAAATATTTGGTCATGAGCCCAAGACGGGGCTCGACAGCAAGTCTTACTGACTGAATATCAGTCGCAATGTGACTTGGACTTGGAAGTTACAGAGTTGTGTGGAGGTGGGGTTGAATACCTCCACCGTGACCCTACTAGTTGTAAGAGGCGATGAAAAGGGAAGTCTCAAACCTGAGACAGTAAAATATGGTTTCAAGTCCCAAGGGACTCAGTCCCAAGAAAGACTGCACTGACAAGGGCCAGCAGCATATACAAAAGGCGGACCCATCCTCTCGTCAGAGAGGGCGCCCCACAAGAACAAGACCATAAATGCCAAACAGTAATAAATATCTGGTGATGAGACCCAGCCGGGGCTCGACACCAAGACAGACAGACTGACGGACCGTCAGTTGCAATATGACTTGGACTTGGAAGTTACAGTTCTAGATTTCTATAGTTCTACAATTCTGGTTCACTGTTCAAGGAGTTCACTATTGTTATTATTCTTCAATTCTTCAAACTCAAGTTCGTCCATGTATACCGTGCAACTGTAATAAATATTATAGAACAGTTCAACAAGTGGTTGTCTCTTCATATAATTACATCCCACATTAGGTAACCTGATGTGTGCATGCTACAGAAGCTATAGTATATGTACATGGTATTTAAAGTTGTCCACATCTTTCCTGTCCTTTTACTTGTTTTCAAATTGGAAGCATTAGAAGGATATTTTATTATGTTCAGTGCTGTCTGCTAATCTTACAGCAATATTGTTGGGGATGTAAATGTGCAGAATTCTGTACGGAAATATGAATTTTTCATCCATAATTGATGTGGCTGTAGGAGTCAAGACTTCAGCAAATCAAGGGGTAACCACCTGTTAATGTTCGAAGATGAATGTGCCAATTTCTATATAGAATGAGTGTTAAGTAAGTCGATAGAATTTCGGTATAGTGGTTATTCCTCCAGCTTCATATTCAGGAGGTCCATAATCAAGACTTAGAATTTTAATCATGTCATTAAATTCATCACAGTACTTTTGTTATAGTCTGTGTGTGTTATGATTAAAAATAAAGGTCCATGTTGCTGTAACAACAAAATTATAATTTTTTCTTCCTACTTATTTTGTGTTCATATTATGCATGTTATTTTTATAATTTTTATTAATTCAAGAACTTTTCAGAGACAGGAATATCCATATGGACATGATGTTCTTATGTGAGTCACTAAAGACACTGTATGCCTTATCATAATATAATTTTCATTTCATGCATCCTGTTGTGTTACAATATACAACTCTTTATTGACCATCACAACACAACAAACAGAAAAAATAAAGGTCAGCGCCCAGCTATATTTCACTACATGTTTCAGCCACTAACGGCCATCATCAGGCAAACACATATTAACAAACATATATAATTGAACTGCAGTACATTAGATTGGATACAGTGTTATTAATCATTTAAAATACTTTGCGTAAAAATACAATAAGTCAGATTATATAAAAAACTAAATGTTATTGTATAAAACAAGATAAAATTGATGTTATATAACATCGAATCAGTCGATATTTTACTTTTCATACGTTTCCATGGACAAATTGGAAATACGATATTTCTTTTATATAAGAATGCATAGTCGTTGTTTACTTTCCATACAGTACAGACAATTCTCTGTAAGATGAGGCACCGGCTATGCGGTTAATTAATTTGCAACATCATGGGCCTCCTGTGCATTCTTATATAAAAGAAATATCGAATTTCCAATTTGTTCATGGAAACGTATGAAAAGTAAAATATCAACTGATTCGATGTTATATAACATCAATTTTATCTTGTTTTATACAATAACATTTAGTTTTTTATATAATCTGACTTATTGTATTTTTACGCAAAGTATTTTAAATGATTAATAACATTGTATCCAATCTAATGTACTGCAGTTCAGTGGTATATGTTTGTTAATATGTGTTTGCCTGATGATGGCCGTTAGTGGCTGAAACATGTAGCAAAACATAGCTGGGCGCTGACCTTGATTTTTTCTGTTTGTTGTGTTGTGACAGTCAATAAAGAGTTGTATATCATAATATACATATGTCCTCACCCTTCCATTTCACCTTGTACCTTTTTTTTTGGTATATTTTCCACCTTATACTGTATTCTGTGCTTTTTATATTTGTCTTTGTTATTACAGAAGGTTGATAATATAATTTATAAAAAAACTGGATCCATGTTTTCAGTATGACAATATAAATAGTAGTGCAGTTCATGAGTGTTTACGGACTTTGTTACCACCTGAAGATGAGCAATACAGTGGATAGCGGATAACTTTTAATAAATATTAAATGTCACATTTAAAGTACAATTTTACCCAGAAATTAATGTATACCATAACAGGATGCAAAAATTTAAGGCGATTATAAAATTTTCTGTTTTGAAACAAGCAGCATTTTTTATTTCTCATGTTCACTTAGCAAGTAAATAGCTTATATTGAATGCGAGTATGTGTTACAGACCACAGTTGTTTGGAAGACCATCATGATTGACAGATATGGTCATGCATAATTTTTTATTTTCAGTGTTCGGAATGGGCAATTGTGATGTCCCTTTAATTTTTAATGTTAATGTTAAATGTGACGTGAATTCATTTACTTTACTTACTTACTTACTTACTTATTCATGGAGCTGAGCCCTTCTGGAGGAGCCGCCAATTCTGCAGCTACTCAAGAATTTCCCAGCATTTTATGGAACCCAAAGGTTCATTGCTGTGTTCACAAGAGCCCTCCACTGGTCCCTATCCTGAGCCAGATCTATCCAATCCATACCATCCCATCCTATCTCTCTAAGATCCATTCTAATATTGTCCACCCACCTACGCCTTGGTCTTCCCCATGGTCTCTTTCCTTCTGGCTTTCCAACCAATATCCTATACGCATTCCTCGTCTCCCCCATTCGTGCTACATGACCTATCCACCTCATCCCATTTAATCTAGATATTCTATTAATAATGAGATTTGTAGACTTATTCATACTGTGCAGTGTGAGACAGATATTGTACGTGTCCTTGAAAATCCTATGGATCAAGAAAAATTGTGAACCACTGAATCAGAACCTCTTGTCTGTTACAAATTATTGACTTAATTTATCTCATTTTGGTATTCCTCGGTCAATTGAACCAGTTCTTTAAAATGTCTTGTGGTTAGTATGCTTTCTGAATGGACACACTGTGCATTCAGAACCTGCCATCGTTCACATGATGCAGTATCTATAGTTGATGGTATGAGCAGTAAATAAGGTACGCTGGGCAGTCATTTCCCAGTATGTGGCCTGCAGACTTGAAGCAGTCCATGCCATATTTATGCTGGTCAACAAATTCTGATTAGCTCACTGTGAGTTTTTTCTGGTAAATCATTTGTAAACTGTCTCTTTCAGTATCTTGAAGGTGAAATGCAATAGTTATCTGTACTGAATGGTATATGAGAGTACAGTAAGATAATGTGTCCTGTGGTGGCATTTTAAATACTGTATTAAAGGATGTTGAGAAATTTTATCTTAACATTTTCAGTGGCCAAGTCCACATCATTTCTTCTAATCGAGATGATAGTGAGGATGAGTTTGTGGCTGCTGCAAGTCCTCCCAGGATGATGGATTCACCACCGAATACTAAAGAACTTGATGTAGGTACATGTGTCTTCATTCGGTGATACTAGTTCCTATTTACTTCTGCTATTTCTGTCATTCTTTCCCAGCAGGTTAGGCTTTACTTCCTGACTTCATGGTCATCATTTGTGTGAATTTCCTGTCATGCTATTCATTTCATTTGTACTTATATGAACAAGTTTTGGGGAGCATGTTATTGTCCATACTATTGTGGCATTCAACTCTCGCGGACAACCGCTCACCACCCAGCAGCTAACGGACTCGTGGAACATTTCCACCAAACACTTTAGGCAGCCATGTGCCACGCAGACCAACACTGGACAGAAGCCCTTCCTCTGGTTCTCCTTGGAATCCGCATGGCATTCAAAGAGGACCTGCAGGCATCAGTAGCTGAGCTCGTGTACGGCAAGCCACTAAGAATACCAGGAGAACTGCTAACTCTGAATGCTGATCAAGTGGATCCAGCTCATCTCATCACCCAACTTCGGCAATATATGGCCTGCCTCAGACCAATTCCAGCAACATGCCACGCCTCCCTGGCTACATTCGTGCACAGCGACCTCGAGAAGTGCACACACGTCTTCCTCCGGCAGGACACAACTCGCAGAGCTTTGGAGACCCCCTACAGCGGCCCCTACCAGGTCCTGTCATGGAAGGAGAAGACAATGCAATTCCTTGTGCACGGCAGGCTTGTCACCGTGTCAACCGATAGGGTCACACCTCCGTACATGCTAAACGAGACAGGGCATTGGACCACCACCAAGACCTTCAACCGCACAGCCGACGCAACCCCAACCACTGCTCCGCATGCCGTACCACCACTGCCTGTAGCACAAACTACACGCTCCAGATGTCATGTACATTTTCCTGCTCGCTTCAACAGCTGAGCAACAATCTCCATGTGTGTGTGTGTGTGTATGTGTGCGCGTGCGTGTGTGTGTGTGTGTGGGGGGGTAGGTGATGTTGGAAGTGCCAACATTCAAGAAAATGTGACATTGCAAGTATCATTGCTTAGCAAAAGTGAGTAAACAGCTGTTGCTAGGCAAAGCCTACAACAATACGGACAGTGACATGTTTTCTATATGTTCGACTCTAGGGTATATAAGAAGATAATTGAGTGATACCCCATGTGGAGGCAGGGTCAAATACCTCGACCGTGACCCTGTGAGTCGTAGGAGGTGACGAAACGGGAAGTCTCAATTGTGAGACAGTAAAATATGGTTGCGAGTCCCAAGGGACTTGGACCTGAGAAAGACTGTGCTGGCAAGGGCCAGCAACATATACAAAAGACAGACCCGTCCTCTTGTCAGAGAGGGCGCCCCACAGAAACAAGACTGTAACTGTCAAATGGTATTAATTAATACTTGGGGCTCGACACCAAGACTTACTGACTGACTGACCGCCAGTTGCAATATGACTTTGACTTCGATTTGAAACCCGGTAAGGACCCAAAATTTCCTCAAAATTTACTCCCAGTTAGCCTTTTGTCTACAACAGGCAAGCTATTTGAAAAAGTTATTTCGAAAATAGTCCAAAAGCAAATTGAAGAAAAAGGCCTGATTAATGCAAGCCAGTTTGGTTTCCGTGCCCGTCATAGCACGACACGTCAATGTATGAGGCTTACGGACCACGTAACCTTAAATTTCAACAATAACATGTCTACAGCTGCTGTATTCTTGGATATTGAAAAAAGCCTTTTATAAAACATGGCACACTGGCTTGCTATATAAATTATCTACATTACAATTTTCGATAAGTTTAATCAAGCTTATTAGCTCTTTCTTTTCTCAGAGAAAATTCAGAGTTTCAGTCGAAGGTGAAATGTCTACACCAAGGGAATACAAGCAAGAGTGCCACAAGGTTCTGTTCTCTCCCCCCACTGTACAGTCTATATATAAATGATACGCCCAAACACCTGGTGTCTATACAGGTCTCTTTGCTGACGACATCTGTACATATGCGACAGACCGCAAAGAGGGTTTTGTTCTCAGAAAGCTGCAGCGAGGTCTCAGTGTTATTGAGACGTGGTGTGATCGCAGGAGCATAAAAATCAGTGAAGATAAAACTCAGGCAATCTACTTCTCTCATAGACTTAGGCCCCCTCAGATTCATCTTACATTGAATGGGCAGAATATTCCCTTTGTCAGTCATGTAAAATACTTGGGCATAATCTTCGATAAGAGGATTACGTGGAGACTTCACATAGAAATGATTGAAGCCAAGGCCTTCAGAACAATTATTAGAATCTACTCCCTATTCAAAAGTGAGTGTTTAAATGCAAACATTAAACTATCCCTCTATAAGGCACTGATAAGATAAGTAATGACTAGGGACCAGATTTTAATGAAAATGCACATTTCTTTCTTGCAACCAGAAAGTATGCTCGTTTGGATATATGTATGAATTAGTTCATTTCTTAAATTTTGGACATGATTTGATGGTGCATATAAATGCATATTTTGTCTGTTTTATGAATAAGCATCATATTTTCGAAGATCTCTATTTATATTGCATATTTCCCTTTTAAAATGTTTTAATATATATTTAATTTTATGTTTTCAATTAGGGTCATGTGTATACATTTTTTCTTTTCTGTATTAGAATATGATGCATATTTGACTCAACATTTCATCATGATTCATGTTTCTGATGCAATACCCAGGACGGGACTTCCTCGACCCCTGTACTCGTAACTTGCCTCATCCGCGTATCATCAATGTGGCCACAAAGAGATAGTCAGAAGCGTTCACATGTAGCCGCTATCAATGTAATACGATTCAACCTCGATCCCTGTACTCGTAACTTGCCTCATCCGCGTACCATCAAAGTGGCCGCGAAGAGATTAGTCGGAAGCATTCACGTGTAGCCGCTATCAATGTAATACTATTCAACCGATAAGGGACTTCACTTATTTATTTCCGAAGTCTCCATGAGGTTTGTTACGCTTCTTCATTTGAAGCTGGGGGCCATTCACATTAGTGGCGACTAGTCTGCAGTTAAGTTTGTTTAGCTTTCTGTAGTCATGCCGAAAGTGAGTCAGAAAACTAAATTACAGCTGTATCAGCGGGAGTTCGAAGTAGAGATGATAAATACGGATAACGAAATTCTTTATTGCTGAGCATGTGAGAAAACGGTTGTGAAAAACGCTTTCAAGTGCTTCAGCATTTGAACGCTAATATACACAAAGAGAATATTAAAATTAAATCCACAAAAAGTGCTCCTGTTCAAAAATTGCTTAGTGAATTTTCTAATAATAGTTTTTCACAGTTTTCCTCTGATTTATGCGAAGCCTTTTTAGTGGCAGATATTCCGCTTGGAAACTAACCAACCCTACTCTGAGGAACTTCATAGAGAAGTATACACAGTGAAAAGTGCCTGATGAATCTACTGTGCGCAAAAATTACGTGAAGCAGTGTTACGATCTTACGATTGAAAGCATTAGAGATAAGATTCAAGATAATTTTGTGTGGGTATCAATCGACGAAACACAAGATTGTGAGGGACGGTTTATTGCAAATTGTATAGTTGGATCCCTTGATAAGAATGAACAATCTACCCTATATCTTCTTGCGGTAGAGCAATTTGAAACCACAAATAGCTCCGCAGTTTCCGGATTTTTTATCAGTTCCATGAATTTACTATGGCCGAATGGCATTCAGTATGAGGCGTATTCCTCTTCGTGACTGATGCTGCAAGTTATATGATGAAAAAGCCGGTACTGCTCCTAAAGTTATATTTCCAAATATGACACATTTGACTTGCCTTGCCCATGGGTTGCACTGTGTTGCAGAAACAATTCGTGCAAAATTTCCGCTTGTTGACAAGATGGTGTCTTCTGTGAAGAAGGTGTTTGCTAAAGCGCCATACAGAAAAGAAGCCTTTAAAGCAGTAGCACCGAGTGTTCCACTTCCGCCAGACCAGTTTTAACGCGCTAGGGCATGTTGTGTGCAGCGAGTTATTATACCGAACATTTAGAAACAGTTAGGAATGTCATGAATACATTTGATCCCAAAAGTGCAGCATCAATTTGGATTGCCCAAGATGTACTAAAGAACGCAGAACTAGACACTAATGTTTCCTATATATCTGCCCACTTCTCTCATCTTCCATCCGCCATTTCCTCACTGGAGGCAAGCAATAGCAATACTATTTTGTATCAGTCGTTAAGTGTGTTCAAAACCACTGTTTCCAAATTGAATTCGGTTCCTGGAAGAGTAGGTGAAGTAGTAAAGGAAAAAGTACACAGCATTCTTTCAAAAACTCCAGGATATGAACAAATTTTGTGAAATTGAGGAAATTTTATCTGGTAAACGTACTGAACTGCCAAGTAACAAATAGCGGCTTTTGTACATGCGCCCCTAAGTTCCTGTGAGGTGGAAAGAAGTTTTTCCCGCTATATGGACTATAGGGGGCGACTAACTATGGAAAACCTAGAACATTTAGCAATTGTGAACTGCAACAGAAGAGAAGTTGAAAGTTCGGAGAGCTAAATGTGAGTACCAATGGTTTTTTAAATTTGTAATGAAATATGTTGGCTTTGTTGCATGATTTGTATTTAAGTATAGCTTTTTATTGCAAATGAACCATTCAGTGATTACATAAAATGAACTTAAATATTGATTTGATATTCTTAAAATAATGTAAAGTAATGTAAAATAAATTTTAATATTTGGTATAAATTTTTATGTGCATATTTTAGTGCATATTTTGGAAGTTTTTCATGCATAAATGCATACATATTTAAGGGATTATAAGGGCATAAAAATCCCGTTCCTAATAATGACTTACGCTTGTCCCGCCTGGGTATTAGCGGCAGACACCTACCTCCTAAAATTTCAGCGCATGCAATACAAGGTTTTGCACACCATTGGAATTTTTCCAAGGTACACACCAGTCCGCGACTTGCACACAGGTTTCAACTTTCCGTGTGTATACGATTATGTAACAAAATTGTGCAGACGACAAGCAGAAGTCATACAAAATCATGATAATGAACATGTTTGTGGTATAGGACAAGGTGAAGCCAGACACAGAAAATATAAGAGGCTTAAACTTGGCAGTGGTCAAGCTTATGAGCGTTCAAATGACTAAGTTTTCGTTTCAGCATAATGATCTGCTCTGTAAAGCCTGTACTGACAGAGGACTTGTGTGTAAAGTAAAAGGAAGAGTTTTCGTTAACATATTATATGTGTGAAATATACACTTGATGAAAGGTCGAATGTATTCATAAGAGACAGACCCAGCTTCTCGTCAGAGAGGATGTTACATAAGGACTATTACCGCAAGAGTTCAGTTGGAAAAGAAAAATCTGGTCGTAGGCCTCAAGGGTCCTGATGCCAAGACAAACTGATTGGCAGTAAACCGCCAGTCGTAAAGTAACTCTGACTCTGACTCTGACTCTGAAAGTATCTCTGGTTGTGAGTCTAAAGGGGCTTGACCAACTAATTGGCGGTAAACCTCCAATCGTAAAGTAATTTTGACTTTGACTTTGACTTTGACTTGGACTTTGAAGTTTACAGTTCTAGATTTCTACAGTTCTACAGTTCTAGTTCAGTGTTCAAGGAGTTCGCTATTGTTATTATTATTCTTCAGTTCTTCAAACACAAGTTTGTCCGTGTATACCGTGCAACTGTAATAAATATTATAGAACAGTTCAGCAAGTGGTTGTCTCTTATGACATCCCACACTATTAAAGTGGGTGAAGTGTTTTTCTCTATAGTCTTGTATATTGTACTTTCAATTGTACCACCACATAATGTTCAAGATATGTGGGATAGATATAATCTGTATTATTGTCTGTCTCTCGGAAAGTTCTAATTTTGTAATACTTCAAAAGTACAGTCTCATTTCATAATTTTCATCAGTCTTTCATAAAAGAGGACATTAATCTGAAGATTAGTATAGCAAGTGATTTTACATGAGGAGCACAACTTGACTGGATTTTAGAGAGTGAACATAATTGATGTTGGTTTACAGGCTGTGTCCCTTGTTGTAAATTGGTTGTTCTGTTGCTTACAGAAAAGTGAAATTAGTCTGGCCACTCAGCAAGCATGTGGCCTTATACATTCCAGTGGACATGAGCGTCCAAACTCCATTGCTGCAATGATTAATGCCAGGGAGGTATGACTCAGCATGAAAGCAATTTCAGGAAGCTGTAAACAAATGTGACATGACAGTTTAAAATAAGGGTGTCCAGGAGCAGCTACCAGGTCCGATATGTCATTAAAGAGTTTCAGTGTAAAAAAGTAGGAAAAAAGAGAATCCATAAAATATAGAATGTAGGAACATGTTTTGTGATATGCTTAACTGTTTAGGGACATAGTTTTTATGTCATTGTTGTCAGAATTTTTCTGTTGTAAATGCCTGTATCATGTATGTATTAGACCCTGCGTTGTATGCCAGTCTCTATGATGGCCAGACTCACCACTTTAGGAGGATGAGATGAGATAAACAGGCTTCTCAGCATAGAAATTTCCATGTTAATATTTTTACCTGTACACCCATTGCTAGGCAGCGGGTTGGTAAACAATTTCCTGCAAAGACACATTCTTGGTAAACAGTCCATTGCTAGGTTATGCAACAATAGGACAGATGAAGAAAGCAGTCTTCTGGGATTTGGCACCGTGTATATGTGGTGTTAACCGACGTTTCGGAGGAACGTATCGCCTCCATCTTCAGGGTAGAAGAAAAAATATAAGAAATCTGCAAGCGAAGAGACTGAGAACCGGTAAAAGCAGACTTCTACCCTGAAGATGGAGGCGATATGTTCCTCCGAAACGTCGGTTAACACCACACATACACGGTGCCAAATCCCAGAAGACTGCTTTCTTCATAGTCACTGCCGTGAAAGCCTCAAATCTTAAATAGGACAGATGTTTACAGCTCGTTACTAGGCAACAGTCATCCTGGGAATGGACTGGCAAGATAGCTATCATGTGACTTGTTTTGATTGCTCCACGCCATGCCCATTTCTAAGCAATGAGCTATAAACATTCTTCCTATTGTGTGACCTAGCAACAGACGGTTTATCAAGAATCTGTCTTCATGGGAACTTGTTTACCAACCCATTGCCTAGCAAAGGGTGTATATGTAACAACATGTTGCACATTTTTTTAATGCTAGTGGGGTGGAACTAAGTCCCTTGTACTGCGGCCACTTCTGGCCTATTGTACCAGCCCGAGGCGATAGGTAAGGGTGATTGTGGAGCAGTTGGCGGAATGAAGATTGGCAGGGGAAACCGAAGTACTCTGTTAATACCTGCCCCAGTGCCACTTTGTTCACCACAAATCCCACTTGACCAGACCCAGGATTGAACCCGGGCCGCCACAGTGGGAAGTCGGCGACTAACCACTTGAGCTATGGCATGGTCAGTATGTTGCACATAGTCCTTACAAGGTTAAATTATATTCCTTTTTCATTAAAGTAAATAACAGATGAAGATAAAGATGGACATGTTATGTGATCAGTATCGGCTGTGTTGGCATTCCACATTCTGATTTTGTTGGATGGTACATGTATATTACGTTTTTGCATATTATGATAACTCCTATTTGTATTCTTGGCACAATAGAATTGTTGTCCATTGTAATGAATAAAGACAATGGAAAGAATTACAGTGGGATAGTTTTTTTGTCACCCGTGTGTATGGGTCTGAAAGCTTGAAGAGTCTCTTATAACCATGTACTGACATACTCTTTGGACACCCTTAATATAATTCAGATGGCTTAAAATTGTGATGATAATATTAGCGCTTGCCTGTTTATTTTATTAAAATGTAAGGAAGTGTGTATGCTTCTACCTTTACTATCATTAAAATGCAGTTGTATTACTTCTGTTAAGAGCAGCATATCTTGTTTAGCTTATCTTTGGATTTCTGGTATGTTTAAATTATGCTTCCCGTGAATGCAATATATTACGAGGGTCGTACTGAAAGTCATGAGCAACAATTTTTTGTAAAGTAACATTCTTTATTATTGACAAACCAAATACGCCAACTCAATCTACAGACCTTTCTTTATTTTTCCACATAATCTCCACTTCTTTGTACACATTTCTCCCAGCATTCTGGGAGTTTGAAAATTCCCCTTCTGTAAAATTCCATTCCAGCCATCCGAAGACACTGACACACTGCTTTCTGAATTGCCTCCCTTGTCTCAAAACGTCCACGCAGCTGATCCTTCACAAATCCGAAAAGAAGGCAGTTGGAGGGTGCCAGATCAGGGCTGTAGGAGGGGTCGATATCTCTGCAGCCGTTCTGAGGTGATGGCTTTTCGCTGACCTTTGTGGTCTTCGGTCAATAACCGCAGGACCCAACGAGCACAAACTTTCCTATAGCCCAAGCTTTCAATCATCTCCTGTACCGCACTGTGCCCTATTCCAAGTTTTCGGGCTATTGTGTCCCCAGTCACACACCTGTCATCTTGAATGATCTCATCCACTCTTTCCTTGTTGCGTTCAGTTGGGGCTGTTTGAGGACGATTGCTCCGAGGCGCATCTTCAATGCTGGTGTTCCCATCTTTAAAATGTTTCACCCATCTTCGAACACTGCTTGCACCCATGTACACACTTCCATAAGCATGCTGAAGTCTTGTGAATTTTTGCAGTGGGAATTTCCTCTTTCACAAGAAATTCGATGACAGCACGCTGGTGAAACGACATATCGTTGTCGGCCATTATGTTAGGAATGATATTGATCACGTGATGCAAGCTATTGATGTCACAAGACACTAAAGGTTAACACAGCTGCTGGTTCCACCTACCACCGTTCTCTCTTTCATCTGCTGTTCCCACGTTGCATGCAAAAAAAAGTTGCTCATGACTTTCGGTATGACCTACATATTTAGAATTTAATTTATATAATTATTTTGCTTAAATCAGTTTATTTTCCAAAATACATTGCTCTAAATCCCAGTGGTTTGATTACATCATTGAGACATTGTTAATTGACTGTTTTTACTTCTTTTCTTTTTAAGTTTTGTAGTCTCTGCCTGAATTTTATGAACTGGATTAATTTTAAGCATTAAGTTTTATCAGTTAACAGAGTTTTTGTGGTTTATGCGAATAATCACACCAATTGTGTTCAGTTGCATGTGTTCATGTCACCAGACTTCAGTTACTATAAAGCCAATATAGTAATGTCTTGTCAGATTCGTTTAATGTATAAATAATACTTTTTCTACTGTGCTATGTCCAAAATGACAGTGGGGCAAAAGTAAACAGCCAAGAAGGTGGATGCAACAGTTGGAAAGTGTATTTCACAATGTCTATGTTACTAATGATGTAGTAGCTTTTTATATATATGTTTTTTATAATGATATCTTACTTGTTACCATAAATTCAACTTTTTCCTTAAACTTGCTTCCATATTTGTATTACTTAAGAGACTGTACATGCTACTCAGTGATACCCTACTCAGATATGCTGCTTTCTCACTGTATCTGATATTCAGGCATCATGGCTATTCTTCAGCAAATCTTATATAATGTGAACACATTTCCCTTAAAGAATGTTCCTTCACAGAAGTTTCAGAGCATTGATTAAGGTTTTATGTCGTGTGTTGTAGCATACCACTGATCACAATTAAATGTGTATCATCCACTGTCTTGGTGGATTAAAACACCAAAATTTGAATGCTCTGTGCTTATTTCAGTGTGTTTAATTTCTTGACTACCTGCTATTCGGCTGCAAGGAACAGGCTTAATGTAAACTATGCTTAGGGTGACACCTGCTAGTTGTGTGTAGGAGATAGGTTTTTATATGTGCCTGGCATGTGTTTACATTCATTTCAGAGTCATTATGAATGAAGTATAGTATAATTTTCTAATACCTTTTGTAAAGTGTATGGGTTATTATGCATGCATAAATGTGGGGGGAACTGTAGAGAAAGACCTCTGTTTCTCGTTTTAGAGAGGAATGTTTGGCCGAAGTTCCTTCACCCAAGGAGATCGCTGTAAGATCACCAACAATTACATCCCTAACAAGATGAAGACTGTAGCTACATATCACAGTAAAGCTTTCTGTGGGACTTATTCAGAAGATGGCAACTACTTTCTGACTGCTTGTCAAGGTAAATAGAGTCATTTTGTAAAAGTATCATTTTCAGTAACCACTTGTCTCTGTTGGGTTAGAGTCACTTTGTAAAACTGTCATTTTCAATAACTACCTGTCTCTGTTGGGTTACATTGTGCCATGTAATTTTGTTAACCTCAGAGGTTAATTGGACTTTATGAACAATTTTGGGGAGTTGTTTCTTTAGGAGACATACACTGTGTGTTTGAGGTAGTATTCTGTTACAGCAAGGTGCATGCCTTCTGCAGCAGCCAGGCTCTTCTCAGTAGTGGTGCACTGTGATGTATGCCTTAAACCAATGCAATTTGCAGATATTGTTCAGATTTCCAGTACTTGCCTCCAACTCTGTCTAGAAGTATTTGAGAGAGCAGTACACGTGAAGCACCCTCTGTTGTGTAGCAAAATCTGACAAGAACTGCATTTTTAGCTTGTTCATCCTGGTTCTTTGTGTTCCACTGTTTTCTCAGATTAATTTACCTTATTAAGATATAAATTATTTTTCCATGCTTGCTTCCTGTGGAGCCATCAGCTGTAGGTCTGTGAAGAAATAAATAAGCTGTCAGCTTTCAAATATGGTATGGCGCAAAAACAATACATTTTGTCCCTACTTCCTATTGCTGGAGTGATGGAAACAGGAAGCTACCTTCCCACATATCACACCATTTACAGAAGTACAGCACAGAATATTAGAGATGGAAAAGGTGCAGTGTGTTGAAGATGTTAGAATGAAAGGTATGAGCTGTGAATACATGTAAGAGCTCTGGAATTACACACGAAAGACAAGAGACCCAAAAACAACTCAGACTGAGAAGGTTTATTCATTAAGATGTAGAGGAAATACATGGACTGAAGTAAAAGACAGTACAGTGCAGAATTTATTCATTAAGATGTAGAGGAAATACATGGACTGAAGTAAAAGACAGTACAGTGCAGAAAGAATGTGGGACGATTGAGATGTTTCAAAACTTTTCATCCATGGATCTGTCCCTAGTAGAAATGATGCCTCAAGATGAGTGAGCAGCAGATGCTTGGATTATTTAATGGCATTTCTCAACTGCATAGATTGTATAGCTTGAACAGTAGTATGATTGTGAAATTGAAAGGCTGTGGAAAGAAGTGGTCATGTGATGTGATGAAATGCCCCTGATTCTTCTGTGTGAACTGAGGGAGCCATGAAAGCCTCAGGATAGCTGCTACTTTGGGATCCAAACCTGAAACTGCCCAGATACAAGGCAGCAATGGAAACCAATCTGAGCTGCAACATTTGGTGCGCAAAAGAAGAATCATCATCATCATCATCATCATCATCAGTAATCTGTCAAGACGACAGGTCCACAGTCTCTTTCAAAACAGTTCCTCCACTTAATGCGATCTAGAGCTCTCTCCTTCAAATGACAGTATCCTCTTCTGTCCCCAAGGTCATCCAGCATCTTCTTACGTCTTCTTCCTCGTCTTCTTGTCACTTCTATCCGCCCATCTATCTTTCCTTCGATAGCTTCTTTTAGAAGGCAGTTTCTGCGTAAAACATGACCAATCCAATTAGCCTTCCGTTTTCTTATTTCATGTAGGATATTCCTCTGCTCACTGACTCTAATTAACACTTCTTCATTTCTCACATAATCGGTCCAACTGATCTTCTCCATTCTTCTCCAACACCACATTTCGAAACTTTCCAGATGTTTCTGATCTACTGCCCTAAGTGTCCATGTTTCAGCCCCATACAGAGCTATGCTCCAAATGTAGCATTTCACTAGTTTCTTCCTCAAATTTAAGTCCAATTTGCTGGTAAAAAGATTCTTCTTCTTGCTAAATGCAGCTTTTGCCATGGCAATCCTGGATTTGATAAAAGAAGAATAGTAGTATTAAAATACTGCAGTATGAAGGAAACATTTTGATTGTTCAGTTTTAATGACTGGGTGTTGCCCACATGATTAAAGATAACTTTACAAGGAGGAGGAGGTATAATTAGAAAATCTTTACTTGTCACATTGGACAGAACTGTTTAACCTCTTATGATATTGAAAGTTTATCTACTACCTCTGAAGTCCTAGGGTTAAAGTTGTAACTGGTCAAGCCCCTGTTTGAAATTTTCTGTTGGGAATAAGTATTAATATTTGCTATGGAGCATGGAGATCTTTGAACCAAGCACCTGGCAGTTGTGACTGGAAATTTTTTAAGAAATCATATAGCTAATAGAAATGTGACCAGTTGGTCAACCGTTGTGAATTCTTGAGCTGTAGAATGAATTTCAGATTTTGATGTGCAAGGTGGGAAGTTGGCTCGAGGACATCCACCAAACCGTTATGGATACTGCTTACAAATCATGTCCACACCCAGCTGTGATAAAGAGTTTAATGTTAGGTTGATTTTATGAATTGTAAATGAACTGATTTTGTTTCTCTGCTATTGAGAACATTCTCTTTGTTCACGGTGCTGAGAGATGAATTTCACATCACTTTTTTCCACCACTTTTGTAACATATTATTTTTCAGATGTTGGCTGGGATAATTTTATTCATCAAACATGTTAACCTTAAGTTAAGTGTCACAACTTTACAGTTAGTTTAGTTCAGTGTTACGATCAGTCACTTACAAAGTGAAGTAATGAGACATATTTCTCCACACTAGTGGGTCCAAATGGACTGTTTGAGTTCCATAAATAGGTCAGCAGCAACTCCTTGAATTTACCCTGGGAAACCTAAAACACATAAGAAACATGTATTTATGTTAATGAGTAATGCAGCTGTGTTTGAGACCTCTGATATACTTCATCTGTAATGCATTTGAGGACATCATAATTGCACCATTATAATCATAAGTAAATTAGTGTTAATAAATACAGTCACCTCTCGATTATTCGGGATAATGGTAGGCATGGAAATCACAATTAATCAAAAACCCGGTTAAGACAAATGTTATTAAAAGTAGTACTGTAATACTGTACCTTCATAATACTATAGGCCTGCCTGTATTTAAATTTACTCAACCTCATTTTTATGTCATCTCATGGCCTACTTAATACTTTTTTACATTATACTGAAGTGTGAATTAGTTATTTCAATAACAGTGTTCAACAACATCCAACACTTTTTATGAATATTCACACTTAACACTTAAAAAAAATTAATATTGTCGTTTGCTTTTTCGCGGCATTTTCATTTTTACAGATATCCGTACGAAGCCTACGTAATATTAGCTTGTCACTTAATAAACTGTTCTCTTCACTCTCAAGATACTCTAGTAAGGATTCCAAATGATTAAGAGCAGCACCATGTGATATTTTCTTGCGCTACCATATTGCATTGCTAATTGTTTAACTACACCTCCTTTTCCCAACTGATTGATAATTTCAAGTTTCTGTTGAATACTTAACACAACACACTTCCTTTTACACCCTGACATTTTGCTAACACACCTGAGGATCGATACAAAGAGACCAACTGGGGCGGTGTATTTGTCCTTGAAACTTTCCACAAATCCTTGCATTCTTTCACCCCTATCCTACAACATTGTGTTAGCATAACGGGACCAAAGAATGCAGAGCTCGGTTCACACTAGTGCAAAAACAGTGTTACAACTCACCATGTGAAACAAAGGTGAATGAATATTAAACAACATATAAGCCGCAAAACCGGTTAATCCGCCCCCAGATAATCGAGAGTTGACTGTATGGCATACTTTGTTCTGTTTTTTCTGCAGATCGTAATCTGAGATTATATTGCACTACTGAAGGGAAGTTTGAAATGCTCAAAACAATTCAGGCACGAGATGTGGGCTGGAGTGTGCTGGATACAGCGTTTAGTCCGGATGGAAATTACATTGTTTACTCCAGCTGGTCAGAATGCCGTAAGTTTTTGCAACTCATGTACGGTAAACTTATTGCAGGGTTTGTCATTTGCATTGCAGAAAGGATGAATAGGAAGCATTTGATATCATATAATGCTAATAGACTTGGGGGGGCAGCTTCCTGACATCCAACACATTCAGGCAACTACTGGGTCTGTTGTGTAGCCCTGTGTTCACAAGTTCACTTCAAAAGGACCCTATTATCAGTGCTAAAGCTAGAACCTTTAGAGGTCCTACTGGTATATGTCAGCTCCAACCATGCCGAGCAAAAGATGTTTATTCTGGGCCCAGCCAAAACTGGGCATTGACAAAGTATGTAGTAGAAGGGTTCCTCCTGTCCACATTTTCTGCTATCTGAGAGGTCCTTCACATGTCATCTCAGTGGACAGTGACGGTTACAGTGGCCTGTCAGCAGTCCTGTTACCCATCTCCACTGTTTCTTGTCCAGGGCCAGTGGATCTTTAAACAGATTTTCTAGACACCTTTCAGTGAAGAGCTTTGAGTGTGACGCCTGGTGTTGCAGCCAAATATTTAGGGTGTGTCTTTGTCAGTCAATACTTAACCTTGAGCCTGCCAACACATGGTGAGATGGAATTAATGGTTTGGGACCAAGAAATGAACTTCTTGATTCCTGTCAAGCCAAGACGTCTGCATCCTCATTGCCCTGAATCCCACTATGGCCAGAAACTCAGAGGAGCATTACTCTGTTCCAGTTGGCTAGGAGACAAATTGCCTGTTGACATTCCCAGACCAGCTTTGATGTTATCCTTCATGCCTGAGGGTTTCGCCCAGCTGACTGGCTGTCTGAGCAAATATAAATTTGCTCTTCTCTGTAGTTCCTTTCTGTACAGTCTCTTACACCAGCTAAAATTGCAAAGATTCTGCCTAGAATACTGTGACATGTACACCATGTGAGAAAGATGGCCTCTGAGTGGCTTCCCACCACAGGTATCTCCACAGAGCCAAGAAAATGGGCCTTAATGCCCCCTCTCCTGATGGTGTATATTCCCCAGATGGAAGCAGAAGAGGTACTAACCTGACCCTGGGATCTTTGACTAGGATTTTATGTTCTCTCCATGCGTTCAGAATGTCATTGATCCCTGACAACAGATCCTTAGAATGCTTCACAGACTCCTTGTACTTCCTTTGGCCCTCTTTGAATGATTCCCAGTCTGAAGGCACTTCATGTCTTTTGGCTTTGCTCAGTATTTTTCTGTTTTCCTGGTGGAACCTCCCTAATTGCAGGCTCCATCAGGGAACCTTCATCTTTCTTCCTGTTGTTCATAAGGGACAGTTATTTCTTTATGGCTTGTTACAGAAATTCTGCTGCCATCTCACATAGTACCAAAGTGAACCAGAATCCAATTGAGCTTGCATTCAAGTTCCTTTTGATAGGGGCCTCAGGATGTAGTCCAAGGACTCCTACAGTTCACCTTTCCTCTTGTCTGCCTACAAGTCTAGAGGTGCCTGTGTTCAAATAGGAACAGTGCTGGCAACTTCAAAGTACATGGATGTCATGTACCAGATTAGTAGTTTACTGCCTTCTTTCAGTGAGGGGTGTAGGCTCCTGTTCTTCATTTAGTAACTAAATCCATAGTACCCAGGTACTTCAGGAGTGTCCGACCTATGAGACTGACATCTGAACTTTTCCACATGACATGGTGGATGTTACCATTACATTCAAGAACCAGGGCCAAATTCCTTTCCCTGCAGTAATTTATGACTTCACCATTTGTGGATGATGGAGGTCCTGCTTTCATCCATATTTTGCATTCTTTGGGTGGTAGAGATCCCTTGCGGTGTTTCATGCTGGACAGTTTTGACACTGGACTGAAATAGTGCACCCATGTGTCATCACAGGTCACTTACATTGCTATTCACTCTAGGAATGTGTTTCCCTCCAATTCAAACTGGTACAGATGTTTTGCAGACTCAGCAACGTGCTGCACCTTCATATCAAATGTTGACGTCTTTGGGACCCATCAGGCACATGTTTTCTTGAACATTTAATGTTCATTGGTAATTATTTCAACACTTCTAACCCTCGCACAACTCTTGGATTCAATATCATGCACTATAATTCATCTGTTTCCAAATAGCATATGTTTGATGAAACATGTGTTCGTATTGCATACAGCTGTTGGCTGAACATGAGCACACAGTAGGTTCGAGACTTTTTACTTAATATACAGTCATAGGTAAAAGGTAGTTCCTTATCTTAGAGGTTTTATTTCTTTTGGTTTGGGTTTATTGTTTTTTTTTTTTTTTTTGTGTTGTACTAGCTTGGGTGTTTATACTGTTATGGTCGCTGGTTGATCTTCCAATTCTAATTATTCTTTGTTACGGGGGCCATGAAGGCCCATTGAATTGTGAGACGTTGAGACTTCCACATTTTCTTTAGACAATCAGCTCACAGATGTTGGTGAGGTTGTCAGACTTATGCACCCACCGCACTTTATTCCTCAGGAAAATTCCTGGTACTCATTTCTGTTAGAGGCTAAGTCGACCCCAGAGCCATAGGTACAATCGTAGACACTTGCATATGACAGGATCTCTTCCCCACACTATGCATTTAACCTGCAAAGAATTTCTGCTAGTTTCACTTTCTCTTCCACTAAAAACTGATAATACAACACTTCTGCAATAGGAGTGACAAGGTCTGATGTCTTGTACTTGTCCTGATGTGCAGAAGCAAGGCATATGGCAGTGAGTGCATTGTTGCTACCAGCCATCCATAGAAGAGTTTCAGTTCTATGGTGCCTACATCTTCAGGGAAAGAATGAAGTCCAAAGTAACTTTGAACCACCCTTGTGCATTTTCCAAATATCTTTGTTGTTGTTATGCATATCTGATTGGCCTTGCTGTTCATTTAGTTCTGATACAAACCTTATGGGTGGTAACCTAATTACACAGCAAATATGATACTGTGCAGAATGAGAAACTGTTTTTATTATATTTAAATGTTCAAAATACTGTTAAATGTTTCGTGTTGGTTAGATTCATGTGTTAGGTCATGTACCAGTCTTTGTATGATGAAATATTTTTGAGAGAAATTGTGTTTTATTTGAGCTTCATATAAATAACTAAGTAAAGTAAGTAAGTAAAAGTAAAGGTATCCCTTTAACAGGCCGTGGAGGCAACCTTCTGGCTTGTAGCATAGTGCCTCAACCAACTACGCTGCCGTGTGACCCCAGTTATAAATAGCTAGTAAACCTATAATAATCTCATGTTCTGTGTTTTGCAGTTCACCTTTGTCGCCTGTATGGAGACTCAGAGACTCAGGATGCTCTTCCACTGTGCCCTGAAGAAAGACGCTTCTGTATCTTTTCATTAGTATTTTCATCAGATGGGCGAGAGATACTGGGAGGAGCCAATGATGGTTTCCTCTATGTTTATGATAGGGAATGCAACCAAAGAGCTTTGAGAGTAAGTGAGAATTGCATGGAGTATAATGTGTTAAGTTGCAAACCTTTGCTCATTTTTGCAAAAAATAAAAAATAATGTTTAATTAATTGCTTACAGACTATACATGATAAAGGAAATACCTTTTAATTGAAGAGTGTATTATCACTTGGTCAGAAAAGCTGAAAGGAAGATGCTTTATGGGTGACCTTGGCATAGATAGGAGGATAGTATTAAAAGAGTTCATATAGAAATAGGGTGTGACTGTGAACTGGCTTCATCAGGCTCAGGATAGGTTCTGGTGGTGGAGTTGCGGTAACATGGTGGTCATCCTTTGGCTTCTTTTAATTCTGAAACATTTGTTATTGACACAGATATTTCAGGTGGATAAATAACTTTTTTTTCTCCAGATAGAAGGACATGACGATGATGTGAACACAGTTGCTTTTGCTGACAGCACGTCACAGATTTTATACAGTGGTGGTGATGATGGCTTATGCAAGGTACCTATGATTGTTATTTATATCTAATTTATTTGTAGTTTGGGCTGAGTATGGCTTTATTTAATATGACATTTTCCTCCAAAGAGTCTGCAAGTTTATGCAAACACTATGCTTCCGGGTCTTCCTTGAAAAGTGGTAGACACTCAGCTGGTCAAGAAATTTATTCCTTACTTTAAGTAATCTGAAAATTCTTTATTATATTAAAAAAGCCATGATTGGTGCATGCACTGAGATAGTTCCATTTAGCCCCCACTTCAAACTATATTTCTTTCACATAAATTTTCATATTGTCTTCTCATTTATGCATAGAACTTGTTACTTGGATTGTTTCAAAGAATATGTTCAAGTCTGAGGCTCCTTGATATATATATTGCATTCTACTGTGGGGTGTTTGTTGGCCTCTTGCCTGACCATCTCTTATTAGCTGTCTGCAGGTTCGTATTTCATATAGTCATGGCTCTCTTCCTTACCTTCTCCATCTGCAGTCCGACAATTTGACCAGTTTCTTATACAAATACAAAAAAAAAAAATATAAAGTTACAAGTGAGTGTAAAGATAAAAGTTTCAGACTTTCAGATGATGATACAAAAAGTGAAAACTATCTTGTAAAACATGGTCCAACATGGACATTTGCACCTGTGCGCTCCCCCATGCATTTCCTTGGTGAACACTGAGCTGTAAGTATCCTGTAATAAAATTATGTTCAGTGTGTGATTTTCACAGAAAATTGATGAAAGTTGGGTAGTGAAATTCTTGAAGAAAGCAGTCTTCTGGGATTTGGCACCGTGTATATGTGGTGTTAACCGACGTTTCGGTTGACCGTGCTTGACCGTGTCTCACGGTGTTGTCGCTTGCAGATTTACCTATACTTCTTCAACCCTGAAGATGGGGGCGATACGTTCCTCCGAAACGTCGGTTAACACCACATATACACGGTGCCAAATCCCAGAAGACTGCTTTCTTCATAGTCACCGCCGTGAAAGCCTCAAATCTTACATAGTGAAATTCTTGTTTGAATTAGAAAATTTCTGTGTTTTCACATTCCTGGCAAGAAGTTCAGATAAGTCACATAAAATTACTGTGTTAGAATTGCCAGCATGAGGAAGGTGTGTGTGTGGATATAGGCTGGAGTGGGTGAGTTGAGGTGTGTGTGTTTTTGAACACAGGAACCATCTTTTGGTGCCAGAGTGGACTGTGTGTTGTGGAAGGATAGTTCCTTAATATTTCTTGTTAAGCAAGAGTACACCCTAAAAACATGTCTAGCAGTGCAGCAGGCAGACAGTATTGCCTGTACCATCAGCAGTCATGAAGCCAGTAATGTGGAATTAGAAACAGTACTAGAAGACAGTTATTGTATTTTGATTCCAAAAGTAAGGTCTCCAAAGCGCTGGGTAATTTTTCGTGCGGCTGTTGGCAACCCTGTTGCATTCGTTGCTTCCCCCACTCCCCCCAATACCACCAAGCATGCGCGCACGTAGCTAGGACGCTCAGTCTTGGCACGGTTGCTGTTAGAAATGGAGCTCCCGATTACTAAAACGGCGAAGTGGCACCATTCCTCTTCGCCTAAGCCTCGAAAATTCAAGCAAACACAGTCTGCCGGTAAAGTCATGGCAACTGTGTTTTGGGATCGAAACGGGGTATTGTTGGTTGACTTTATGGAAACTGGGACCACAATAAACGCTGAGAGATATTGTGAGACACTGAGAAAACTCAGGCGGGCGATTCAGAACCGGAGAAGAGGGATGTTGAGCAAGGGCGTAAGCATTCTCCACGATAACGCTCGCCCCCATGCTGCCCGACAAACCGTCGCTCAACTGCAACAGTTTGGATGGAACATCATCACCCATCCACCCTATAGTCTGGACTTGGCGCCCAGTGACTACCATCTCTTTCCAAAGTTGAAAGAACATTTGTCTGGAAAGCGCTTCAACAACGACGATGAGGTGAAAGCTGAGGTTCGAAGTTTCCTGAACAGCATGGAGGTGAACTGGTATGACATGGGCATACAAAAACTACCACTGCGCCTACAAAAATGCATCGACCGAAATGGTGATTATGTAGAGAAATGAGTACATGTTCAAGATTCAACTGATGTATCCAAAATTGAAAATAAATGTTTATTTTATATTTTCAAACATAGGAGACCTTACTTTTGGAATTACCCTTGTATTTCCATATTAATTTTGCGTTTGTTTTTCATAAACACACCTGCTACCCACAGAAGAATTTTTATTTTTTTCATTATGAGATAACTATTTCAGAAGTTAAATTTTGACCCCAATTTCTGTTGCAGCATCTGCTTCATATGGCTTTAAAATGAAGTTCAAAACCCTTATGTGAAACAGAAGGTGTTGCAGTGTGCACAGAGAGGTTATAATCACTAGGAAGATAATTGTATGGGACAGAAAATAAAGGACAGACCTAAGGTTGATGTATTTATTGACTTCAGAGAGACCAGTTTTGAGAAATGTGATATTTATTTGTTGGACAATTTCAGGTGTGGGACAGGCGAACACTCAGTGAGTTAAATCCCAAACCTGTGGGTGTCCTTGCTGGCCACATGGATGGTGTAACATATATTGATCCTCGTGGAGATGGTCGTCACCTTATTTCCAATTGTAAAGATCAGAGTATAAAACTGTGGGATGTGCGAGTTTTTTCTGGGTCCAGTGGCCAAAATAACACTCGGAAAGCAGTTTCCGATCAAACATGGGATTATCGGTGGCAGAAAGTACCTAAGAAGCGTGAGTTAAATTATTTGAAAATATTTTAACATTTTAAGCCACTCCATTGTATTTTTAATCTTCGTTATCAAGGTACAAGTTGAAACAAATTATCTATGTTTCGAACCTGACAGTTCGTCAGGGACACCACCATTGTGAAGGCTATCAGAGTTTACATTTGCAAAATTCATATAATATAAAATTAATACCCAAGTTATAAATAAGAATTTTATTCTCTGAAGTGCATATTAATGCAATTCATGTGCTGAGACAGTGGGAGTATAAGTATAATTTTTAATGTTGTGAAATAAAAAAAGTTTTTGATGTAGTGTTATATAACTTTTAATTTTATAATATCTGAATTATGCAGTTGTAAATCTTGATAGCTTACACTTTTCATTTGCCCCAGACGAACTGTAAGCTTCAAAACATATTGGCCTAGATAATTTATTATATTTCAATGATGAATAGCATATAGTGTGTAGTTGATGCTAATTCAAGTTACTGTAATGAACTGGAATCCTTTTTCTCTACAGCTTAAACCCTTTCTTCATTTCACTTTAAAAATGCTTTCATCACTCTTGTTTGTGCCTAGAGAAAACGGGAATTTTACTGTTTTCTCCTTTTGACTGCTGCTGTATTTGTTAACCAGTTGACTGAAATAGTGTTACTGTTATGTGTGGAAAGAATGTTGTATTCATCTGGACATGATGAATGTTCTGGCAGTGAGCAACCCTAAGAAGAACCTGGAGGGAGATACATCTGTGATGACATACCGAGGTCACCGTGTGCTTCAGACTCTTGTGAGGTGTCACTTCTCACCGGAGTTCATAACAGGACAACGTTACATTTATACAGGTTGTGCAGCTGGCAGAGTAGTCAGTAAGTATATGTGTTTATTATGTAACTTCGTTACTTGTAATTTCATGGGGTGGGGTGAGACTGAGGCCACTTGGTACATTGGCCATGAATTGGCCTATTGTACCAGCTCCATTTCATAGATTAGTATCTGGCATTTGGTGGAATAAGAACTGACAGGAAAAACAAAAGTACTCAGAGACAACCACCTGCAGTGCTACCCTGTCCATGAGAAACCCTACATGACCTGCCCTGGGATCAAACCTGGACTGCCTCTGTGGGAAGCTGGTGACTGACTACGTGAGCTATGGCAGTACTTCTCAACCGCTGGGCCGCGGCCCAGTAGTGAGCTCTGGCATCAATTATACTGGGCCACAAGAGGCTCTTCTGGAATTTGTCATTTTCATTTTCTAAGCATTTTTCATGAATAAATATTTTATATTGGAAATATTCTGAGGAGAATAATATTTGTGCCTAGAAGCTCAGACAGAACACCTAAATCTGTGTAGCAAATGTCAGTGACCAAGCCACATATTTTTAAACATGGAAGTATTCATGAATGATTGGGAATTTTCAGACATCTAAATCTTTCAGCATTCAGGAAAGACAATACCGATGTTTATGACCAGTCATAAAAATTGCCTGCAAGCCAATTACAACAGTGGGCAGCATATCCTCTGTTCTCAGAACTGAGCGAAATAACATCTGTGTTGCAAATGTCAGTGTGTAAGTGCTTGTTTCGAAACCTGAGTGATTTAAATTTTAATATGAGTAAGAGACAGGGTACTGTGTTTAATTTTGGTGTTAAGAAATCTCATATTGAAGGTGTTTGTGACACAACAAGTAGTGATTCATCCACCTCAAGCCTACGTAGCGATCTCCAGGATGTACAAAATGAAAGGAAAACACCAGCACACAGAAGAAGAAGTCTCCATCCATTCGTAAGTACGAGGGTCGTACTGAAAGTCATGAGCAACAATTTTTTGTAAAGTAACATGCTTTATTATTGACAAACCAAATACACCACCTCAATCTACAGACCTTTCTTTATTTTTCCACATAATCACAACTTCTTTGTACACATTTCTCCCAGCGTTCTGGGAGTTTGAAAATTCCCCTTCTGTAATTCCGTTCCAGCCATCCAAAGACACTGAAGCACTGCTTTCCGAATTGCCTCCCCAGATCAGGGCTATAGGAGGGGTGTGGAAGAACTTCCTACCCCATCTTTGCAATTGCTTCCAATGTGAGGCGAGCGGCATGGGGGTGAGCGTTGTCATGCAGGATGACGATGTTTTGTCCCGGACATTTATCGCGCAATGCACGACGGAGTTTGTGCAGCATCTGGACGTAACGAGCAGCATTAATGGTTTGCCCGGGTTCCAGGAATTCGGAATAAACCCCTCTGCATCCCAGAAGAATGTGCCTATCACCTTTGCAGCTGGTGGCACTGTCTTTGCCTTCTTTTTTGATGGAGAATGCAAATGGTGCCATTCCATACTCTGCCATTTCGTTTCAGGCTCGAAATGGTGAAACCAGCTTTCGTCACCTGTCACAATACAGAGCAAAAAATCATCACCTTCATGTCGATATCTCTGCAGCAGTTCTGAGGTGATGGCTTTTCGCTGACCATTGTGGTCTCCGGTCAGTAACCGCGAGACCCAACGAGCATAAACTTTCCTATAGCCCAAGCTTTCAATCATCTCCTGTATTGCACTGTGCCCTATTTCAAGTTTTTGGGCTATTGTGTCCACAGTCACATGCCTGTCATCTTGAATGATCTCATCCACTCTTTTCTTGTTGGGTTCAATTGAGGCTGTTCAAGGATGACCGCTCCGAGGCTCATCTTCGATGCTGGTGTTCCCATCTTTAAAATGTTTCACCCATTTTCGAACACTGCTCACGCCCATGCACACACTTCCATAAGCATGCTGAAGTCTGGTGAATTTCTGCAGCAGGGATTTCCTCTTTCACAAGAAATTCGATGACAGCATGCTGGCGAAACGACATATCGTTGTTGGCCATTTTGGTAGGAGTGATACTCGTCACTTGATGCAAGCTATTGACATCACAAGATGCTCAAGGTTAACATAACAGCTGGTTCCACCTACCACCATACTCTCTTTTGTCTGCTGTTCTCAGGTTGCATGCAAAAAAAAAGTTGCTCATGACTTTCGGTACGACCTACGTACATGGACAGCTACTTAAAATTTGGTTTCATACAGTGCCCTAACACTAACCAATTTCCACAACCTCAGTGTGTCATTTGTGCTACTGTTCTGTCTATGAAGCCATCGCGACTTACCCAACATCTCAACACAAGACATTCCGATCAAGTCAACAAACCCATTGAATTCTTTATGCGTAAAAGAGATGCACTTAAAGTAGAAAAGAAAATTATTTACCAAGCTTCAACCACTGACACTTCACTTCTGATGGCATCCTATTTAATATCACTACAGATAGCTAAATGTAAAAAATCATATTCCATTGGGAAAGAACTCATTAAGCCTTCTTTGGTTGCTGCTTGTAATGAAGTATTAGGCCAGTCTGCGGCTAGTAAAATCAAAGACATCGTATTGTCGAATGATACAGTTGGTAGGCGGATATCTGATATGGCAGAAGATACAGAAACGCAAGTCATCGAAAAAATTAAAAAATCGAAATTGTTTGCATTACAACTGGACGAATCTACAGATAATCAGAACAGCAGCATTTTACTTACGTATGTACGATATATTGACCATGATGAGAGTGATATGAAGGAAGACATTTTAAGTGTTTCTGAATTACCTACGCACACTACCAGCAGTGAAATTTTCAAAGTTTTAAGTGGTTTCATTGAGAGAGGTCTCAAATGGAAAAATTGCGTTGGAGTTTGCACTGATGGTGCTGCTTGTCTTACAGGTAGAAATTCAGGTTTGGTCACTAAAATTAAGGATATGGCGGGCAATAACTTAGTTTGAACGCATTGCTACATTCATAGGCAAAACCTGGCCTCCAAAAAAATGGCACCTGAGCTTAATGAAGTCCTGTCTCAATCTGTTAAGATTATTAATTATATTGTTACATGTTTGGGTGTGTCACGCTACAGATAAGTTTACGCCGTGGTATTTGATATAGTGAATTTATTCCACTCGATCACCTTACACACCTTACAATCATCAGCTCTTGCAGTGTTATAATTACTGCTTACAATATCTCGGCGATACTGGACTGTCTTCTTTAGCAGTTGGATCAAGACTGACTGTGTGAATGCATTCAACCCCGTTTTATAACCTCGGGCCACTGCTATGCAAATGAGCCTTTGTTGTAACCGTGGAAACTCATCTCTATGCAATGCTCACTGTTAGAATTACTGTATCACTGTTGTTACTTCCTAGGCAACGGCCTGTTCTAGTGTTTACATGGAAGTAACGCTTCTGGATTCCAAACACGTTACATTGCTCCCTTCTAAAGGTTGTTCGTCCCGAACAGCCTAAAGGTTCTTCCTCTCTTCCATTTTTGTCTTCCGGCTGGTATGAGGTCCAACTATTCGATTCTCAATCTCTAGTCCTTGGTTCTTCCTGAGGGTTCGGCTGGCTGTTCCCTCGTTCCCATGTTGCAGCTGCTGTCTTTTGTACAATTTTTTTGGTCCGTTGCTGCCCTCTGGTTTCTCCTGGGGTCTCTGCCCTCTGGAGGTTCTTCTTGCGACGTTGTTCTTGGTCAGGATGTACCCGATGATGTGTCCCCAGCGTCGTGTTACTACTGCACGGAGGGACATCCTGCCAGGAGCGGTGACATATTTCTTCTGGCACCGATCCTGAACTTTGGTCCATTCTTTCTTGAAGGTATTTCTCCTTCGACGTACCACTGTCGCGCGACGGGACATCTTCTTGTCTATTGGCGTTCTCCGTGCCACTTTCTCTCGGCGTGTTGTCCCTCTGTGTGTGGCGGCCAATTCCTTCTGGGAATCATGAATTACCCTCGTTGAGTCCTTCGCTTTCCGGCGGCGGTGCTCCGTGGCCAGTTTTCGGTCCCTGCGCCGTTTCCTCGGTTCTCCGACCGGCATTATCGTGGTGTCTACTATGGGGACCTCTTCATGCTCCACTGCGGACTGCCTCACATCTAAATGGGGCTTAATCTTTCTTGCATCTGCCTTCATTGCTTCTCGGCAGGCTGTCATCCTTATGTCGTTTTCGGCCGCTAACTCCTTGTGGCTGAGTCCTTCGCTTTCTGGCGGCAGCGCTCCGCGCCCAGTTTTTGATCCCTGCACCGTTTCCTCGGTTCTCCGACCAGCATTATCATGACGTCTACTACAGGGACCTCTTGATGCTCCACTACGGACTGCATCACATCTAAATGGGGCTTAATCTTTCCTGCATCTGCCTTCATTGCTTCTCGGCAGTCTGTCGTCCTTATGTCGTTTTCGGCTGCTAACTCCTTGTGGCTGTCATTCCTCCAGTTGTCTGTCATGGCGGCCATTTCTTCTCACCATGCTTTGTGATCGGCCATCATCTGTTCATGTCTGGCATCGGCTTTTATTTGGTTGGCCTCCATTAAGGCCAGCAATTCTTTATGGTCGGATCTCATGTTGGCATCCATTCTTGCCAGCATTTCTTCTTGTCGGGTTTTCTCTCTGCCTCTGCCTTCGCCAGCATGATATGTGTTTTTTCTCTATCAGCTCTGATTTCCTTGAGCAGCATTTCCATCACCTGATGCATCTCCATTTTGTAGCAGTAAAATATTCGATGCACAGCACTCTGTTTGTGGCGTGTTTTAAGTTCGAAATCAATTCTGACACCAATGTTACGTGTTTGGGTGTGTCACGCTACAAATAAGTTTATGCCGTGGTATTTGATATAGCGAATTTATTCCACTCGCTCACCTTACACACCTTACAATCATCAGCTCTTGCAGTGTTACAATTACTGCTTACAATATCTTGGCGATACTGGACTCTTCTTTAGCGGTTGGATCCAGACTGACTGTGCGAATGCATTCAACCCCGTTTTGTAACCTCGGCCACTGCTATGCAAACGAGCCTTTGTTGTAACCGTGGAAACTCATCTCTATGCAATGCTCACTGTTAGAATTACTGTATCGCTATTGTTACTTCCTAGGCAACGGCCTGTTCTAGCGTTTCCATGAAAGTAACTCTTCTGGATTCCAAACACGTTACATTATTATCTATATAAATAAAAATGTAAATGTTCGTTTGTCTCTCCTCGAAGATCTCCGAAAGTTCTTCACCGATTGCTTTGAAATTTTGATACATCGTTTCATTCGAACACACACATGTTTTTATATAGCTGTTATATAGATGTCACACCCGTGGCAGGTAAAAACAGGTAAAAAACATGTTATATGTCGTCCATCGAATACCAACAGATCGTTGTCTAGGAATAACCGTGGCAATGAACTGTTGAAACAGCGGATCGTTGCCTAGGAATAACTGTGGCAATGAACTGTTGAGACAGCGGATCGTTGCCTAGGAATATAAACAGTCTACAGGAAGCTGCCACCAGAGACAGTCGAGATCCAGCCACGACAACATAGGCAGCATAGCGCTGGGCCAGAAGCTAGGCGAAATAGGATTAGTTTTGTTACTGCAAGTGGCAATTCTTGCAAAGTGTGTAAGTGTAAAAGCGAGGAAAAATAAATACTCGCATGATAGATTTTGATTTATTTTCATTTTGATTTAATTTTGATGTTACATTGCATTGGAATTGGGGTGTGTCGTTTACCATAGCATTCATTTCATGAGTATAGTTCATTTTTCATTTTTCATTTCGTTTTCTTTACTGTTTCCCTTATTTTCTGGTGCAATTGGCGGTGGGATTGGGCTGTGTCAATTGATCTGCGTTTGAATTGAAATATTTCGTCAGTATTTTTTTTCTTCTTTGTTTTCCAGTTCGTGTTCTTTCCTTTTTTAATGTTTTGCAATTTCATGTTTTTTTCTTATAACTTTCTTCTTCTTTGGTGCATTCGATCTGCTTTAGTTCATCCAAATAATGCCTCGCAGAAGATCAAGATAAGTTCTTCACCGATTGCTTTGAAATTTTGACACAACGTTGCATTCGAACACGTGCATGTTTTTATATGCCTATTATGTAGATGTCATACCCGTGACAGGTAAGAACAAGTAAAAGTATTAATTGTATTCAATATTAATATACTGTAACGTGTTATACGTCATCCATCGAATACCAACAGATCGTTGCCTAGGAATAACCGTGGCAACGAACTGTTGAAACAGCGGGTCATTGCCTTGGAATAACTGTCGCAACAAACTGTTGAAACAGCACATCGTTGCCTTGGAATAACTGTGGCACGAACTGTTGAAACAGCGGAAATAATGCATTTCTGCGGCAACGAGCACAGAACACGTGAAATGGAACCCTGGGCGAAAGTGCCCTCTATTGCGTCCGAAACCGAGTTATAATAGTCCAGTTCCGAAGAAATTTTCGGTAATACTGGACGTGATAATAGTTGTGCTCACTGGTGTAAAAGTGAGCGTTCAATAACTTATTCGCTGAATCCGAGATGTGCGTGGAAGTTATTTCATAAGTATAGTTCATTTTTCGTTGTTTTTCTTTTCGTTTTCTAAGAACAAGCTTAGGTCATCGTACTCGGGGAGCGGAAGTAATGTGTCGAGTAATTTCAAATCAAACTGGGGAAGAACGGGCAGACTGAGCCACAGCAAGGCGTGGCCGGGCACAGCTAGTTAATTATATAAAAAACAGTGCTTTAAATACAAGACTTAAAATCATTGTGCGATGAAATGGGCTCGCTCTGCTCATCGAATCTTCTTTTCCATTCGGAAGTTCGTTGGTTGTCCCACAGTAAAGTTCTCAAGAGGTTATATGAATTCCGAAAGGAAGTCGAGCTCTTTCTAATTGATAAGAAAAGTAACCTGTCCCATTATTTCCAGGATAAGAAATGGGTAGGCAGGCTGACGTATCTCAGCAACACATTTTCTTACATGAACGAGTTGAATTTAAAACTTCAAGGTCCAGATACAACAATATTTAATGCGTGGAACAAAATTGAATCATTCAAAAAGAAACTCAAACTCTGGCTTAATATGATTGCAGAAGGAAACAGTGAAATGTTTCAGTCGTACTCAGAATATATTATGGAAGCAGATGATTTCTCTTCACAGAATTCAGTTTCAGATATTATTGCAGCCCACTTGAAATTGATGATGATGTCATTTGAAAAATATTATCCTAACATGAGGATCCCTGGAGGCAAAATATGTGGATTGTGAACCCTTTTGTTGAACACAAAGGGACAGCCCTTTCCCATGAAGAAACCCTTCAACTTATTTAATTATCATTGGACAAAGGACGGGAAAGTACTTTTAATACTACAAGTAATTCGAAATTCTGGATAAGAATGAAAAATGAATATCCAAATTTACATGAAATAGCAGTGAGGTTTCTTCTTTGTTTTTCCACCACATATCTTTGTGAAACTGCATTTTCTGCCATGACGGTGCATAAAACGAAACAGGAACTGCCTGCAACTTTCTGACTGTCTCCGTTTGGCTCTCCAATTCATCCCAGAATTATCAAGCTAACGGACGGAAAACAGAAACAGAAGTCTCACTAGCCTAACTGAAACCTTCCAAACTCAGCTGTGATAAAAGAAACGAAGTTTATCTTTCCAATAACTTATAACTGTTGTGTTAAATTGCTGCATCTTTAAAATCAAAATACAGTGGACCCTCACTTAATGAGCATAATTCGTTCCAGAATCTTACTTGTAATGTGAAACACTCGTTAAGCGAAACAATTTTTCCCATATAAATTAATGTAAAATACGATAATGCGTTCCATGCCAAAAAAAAAATACTCAAAAAATTTTATGTATAATGTTTATTCAAAGAAAATTATATATACATTGTAAAGGAGCGTGAATCATCTTCATCGTTTCTTCTGTTCGGAACGAACCAACTTGGAATGCGAATTCAATTTACAGAAAACAGAAAAAAAAAAATCGAAATTATTTGTTTATTATTTATGATACATATATAATTCTTTTTTACTAGAAAGCTGTCTAGAGACATTTGATTTTGCCGATGCTTCAAAATTTGGTGAAAATGCAACAAAGCATTATAATTAAATAAATTTGTAGCACGCATAGTCACTGCCTTATTAGGGTGATGCTTCTCAGTGTGTGATGCAACAGTTTCCCATGCTTTCAGCATTTCTCTTATTGGCCAGAAGATTGTTGCTTTGCTGTTACCTCCTCCTCCTCCTCCTCTGCCAAACTCTCCTCCACAACTTCTTGCTGTGAAACACAGTGCAACTCCAAATCGTTGATGTAGGCCGATTGTATGTGCGTGCTAGATCAGCCACGCTCACACCTCGTTCTCGCTTTTCAATGATTTTACGTTTTGTTTCTATGGTTATTTTTATTCTCTTATGGCTGTCTTTTTGCAGCTTTTTCTTCGGCGACATTTTTGCAAGTGTTATTAAACTTTGCACAAAAAAAAAACAATATGTCTGAACACAAGTTTGGAAAAATGTGTGATCACAAGTGACGCTAAGATGCTAGCAGAACGAATGCTAAACACAGACTGATGTAGCAGGCACACAATCTGGAACTTCCCCTCTCGTCACTCATTATGCGAAACGTCGCTCGTCGAGTCATTTTTTACAATTTGTTTTGCTTGTCATGCGAGTTACTCGTTATGAGAGGTGCTCATTAAGCGAGGTTCCGCTGTATTAATTAGTGGTGGAAGTGGTGTTTAGAATTGAGAGATTCATACATTTCTATTTATCAAATTACATACTTTACATATATAATTATTTGGCGTGTGTATGTGATAATAAGTGTTTCGCTGGCAAGTTGACATCCTTCTGCTTCTTCCCCTACTCAGCTGACTTCTGTGGTGAGTTACAATGCATAAATATTTTACTTCCACTTTTTTTCAAACCACCATCATTAAAATCAATTTAATAATACAATAATCAATATTACGCTGAATAACATAAGTTTTTGGTGATCAGCATGGGATATGTCAATGAAAATTAGCACAAATTAATTTAATGATGTTGGTCTGAGGAAACTACAGAATGCTACAAGATTTAATTAGTCCAGTGATTGATAACTAATTTAAATGTAATTTTATGTTTGTCAACATGCCACACTATATACATAAGTGTACTAATACTCTTTATGATTATGCTATAATTAATTACTGATATCAAATTAGCTTAATGCATGAACTTTAACAAAACTGGAAAGGTATTTATGAGTAAATTTGTTGGGACTGGGCCCTCGTCTTATAAAAAAAGAACTTGCAGGGCCGCGGTCTCATAAAGGTTGAGAACCACTGACCTATGGCACAGCCTAACTTGATTGTAAGTAGGAATCTGACAGTTCTGCTGCAGTAACAGTAAGATCCTTGAATTTATGATTTTAATATTTGCTGATATCGCCAGCAATTGTACATATATTCATCCTTCTCGGCCTCTGCTCACTTTGATAATATTGAAAGAATCCATTTTAGAGGTGGAGATAACTGAAGTTTTCTCTGCTATCCATAATGATGGAACTGATGATGATGATTCTTTTTCTGTTACCAGCAATATTCACACACTGCTATGTGCCCTGTTTCATAATGTGTATTAAGTAATTTTTAATTTTTTAATTCACAACATTTTCTTTTTGTAGGTATAAATACCTTCAAAGAATATGTACAGTACAGCAATTTTAAGAAAATAGTACACTTGCTTAGAACTGAAACAGTGAGGTTAAATAAATGTGTCTTGTTTTTTTCAGTTTATGATGTCCTCACGGGTAAAGTGCACAGTGTGTTATCGGGACATAGAGCTTGTGTTCGAGATGTATCGTGGCATCCACATAGACAAGAACTTATTAGTACATCGGTAAGTTTGCTTGTAATCTGCATGTAATGATTTGTAATGAAACTACTATTAAGTCAGTACTAATTTGGTTTCAAAGGTTACATCCATTCAGTTCTACAGATTTACATACAGTTGTTTTCCTACTGAATATGAACGAAATGATTGTTTAATGCTAGTGTGAAAAGAAAATTTATGCATAGCGTTTTCAGATACCAGGTGAAGCAATTAAACCACATTGTTTACTCCAGCATTTCTGAATCTTCTTCGCTTGCGGTACTCCTAGGTCACAGAATAAAATTTCATGTACTTGTTTTCAATGGTGCCTTAATTTTTATCACAGACTAGGTGTTATGTATTAGAAACACAAGGCACAACAACAGACCTTTTTTTATTCCATACACAGAAAGCATTGAATATAAGAAAGTTGTCAGCTGTTTTTTAGGCCCTTTCAGAATATGTTTGGTAGTGTAAGGAAAACAGTTCATATATGTCCTGTCTCACATTATAGAGTACTAATAATAGGCTACAAATATAATCACTAGTAGCATGTCGAAACAGTAATTTTCAGTATAGAAATTAACACCTTAATGTGGTAATAAAATCAAAGAGATCAGCCATACCAGATGTTGACCATTAAATTTACGCATAAAGGCATGGAAAAATTTAAGTTATCTGGTTCCACTTTTCTGTTCCTGATGGGTGCAGTGACTAACCCTAGTACTCTTATTTCCTCTCTTTCACCACTCAGCTACTCATGCAGATAAGTGCTGCAATGACAGTAGTAATAGTAGTAGTAGTGTAGTAGTATAGTAGCAGCAGCAACAGTAGTAGTAGTAGTAGTAGTAGTTGTAGTATAGTAGCAACAGTAGTAGTAGTAGTAGTAGTAGTAGTTGTAGTAAGTAGTGGTAGTGGTAGTAGTAAGTAAAAGTAAAGCTATCCCTGTACCAGGCCGTGAAGGCCCATGGGGTTGTGAGACGTTGAGGGTCCCACATTGTTTAGACAAGGTTGTCAGCCGTACGCGCTGGCCGCGCTTTACTCCCCAGGAAAATTATTTAATTAATTCCTGGTACTCATTTCTGTTAGAGGCTGAGTAAACCCCCAGGGCCTAGTGTGGCTGGAAGGATTAGGTCAACTGAAAAAAAATCCAATGACCTCGTCGGGACTTGAACCCGCGACCTTCCGGCTTGTAGCATAGCTCCTCCACCACAGTAGTAGTAATCGTGGTAGTGGTGGTGGTGGTGGTGGTGGTGGTGGTGATGGTGGTGATGGTGGTGGTGGCGGCAGCAGTAGTAGTAGTAAACTCGGGTTATTAGTCATTGCAAGTAAACAATTGAAAAAGTTCGTAGATCTAAAAGAATTTTACTTATGGGGTGAAATATAGTACTGTCATGCATCTGGGGTTCCGTGACGAATAATAACGGGTTCTGGATTGGATGATTGATTATATTGTCACTTCTGTTACAGTCTTTCATAATTACAATGAATTACAACAGCTCACAATCATTAACTGCCTAAGACTCACTCAATTCCATACTGGACTACAAGTGTCTTGTCTTCTGTTGTGACCAACATTGTTCTGATTTGTGAATCGGCACTTTTTCAGCTTCCGTTATCCAGTGGTTAACACTCCACAGCTGAACACTGAACTGTTGAACTGCCTTCTGAATTCTCTTACAAGTGAATGCCGAATCACGTCTCACATGCAACTGAACTTTGAATCAGTTACATGACCCCTTTTTATAACTTTGGTGCGAACCGAATAGAGATCACCACTTCCAACCATTTCTCTGTCATTCTGGGCTTATCGTTCCTATGACAAATGTTTTGATTTCATAGCAGTGATCTGGTTTTCATATGTTTACAGTTTTCAGTTTTCATTGCTGTGGATACATGCCTAGTGAGCCATTGTCTAACAATGGACTATTCCAGCTTTCAGGCATCATGTCACAATATAATTCTAAGTAGAATTTTTCAACTATCATAAATTTAGCCACAGACTAGCAATGATCGTTTGACTGCCACACAGATACAGGCAATGTGCGCTTGTAAAATTCTATTTTCCGTTTGTTGAGTTTGCGAATTTAATTTGTTGTTTGACAGTGGGATGGAACACTGGGGAGATGGACCTACTCTGGCAAGATAGCATCAGCCATTGAGGATGCAGATATCACATGCCGATTGGACCAAGGTTTTAGAGGTTTGCGTCGTAGCCGTCGCATCGCCCAGCAGCGGGAAAGACAGCAGAAGTCGCAAGATGCACCTGAACAGAAAAATGTGCCAGGCTGTTGACTTATGTGACCGGTTAACCAGGTTAGACTGAAGGCATTTGGTACCGGTGAAATACCAGGATTATGCAGTATTGAATAGACTTATTTCTGCTGCCTGCCCTAAGTGACTAGTCTGTACTGTGTAACTCCAAATGCAGTTAGTATCATAAAGACATTCACAAGTTATTTCTTCTAACAGTGCAGAAGCTTGTTGGGATATGAGTTGCAGGTGGACCCACCGGTTGTTGGAAATATTTTGTGATATAATTTGTGTGAAATGACAGAGTCTTGTAGGAGTATGTTGTGAAGACTAACTGCCAGTCAGCACACTAAGTGCTCCACTTGTTTAGATGTTTATTTGATGACAATTTAAGAAAAATTAAGTGAACACAAAACGTAAAGGCAGACAGTGCCTTCAGTAAAGTGTACTGTGATTAATAGTTTAAAAGATTGTCCAGACTAATTCGCTTGCACGAACATTGATTTTTTAGTTGTACTGCAAAACTAATGTAGAAGCATGGTCAGTAGCGAAGCCACAATTTGTTGATGAAAGCATCACCCACACTAATTCTAATTATACAGATATAATTTTATTTTCTTCACAGGATCTATTTACAAAATAGATGTCTTATTAGTTATTTCTAGAGGAAGATGGCTTCTGGGGTCCCCAAATTGATCAGTGCCCTCAAATGAGGTCTCTGTTACTGCTGCTCTTTAATTAATGTTGTGCTGTGACAAGTCACAGTGTCCATTATTATTTTGCCAAATACTTTTCTCCATTAAATTTTTCACAAAGAATGGTGTACATACAATATTTCTTTCAGGCTGATATGGGTGATTTTAAACATAAGTGATAACTGTTAATTTCCCTTTAATGGATTTGGGCACTGCAGCTTTCAGGTATCAATCTACAAAATTGCAAGCTTGACAGTTTATGTCATTGTAAAAATAATATCATGTTAATTCATTGATTTGTCATTGAAATGGAGGGAGCCTGCTAGTGTAGATGTAGGGTGCTGGTGTGTGGTGCTAGTTTGCAATTGTGATTTCAGTGCATATATTTTCTTATGCTTAAATCTACATCCCAAGGTCTAAACAAAGTAGATTTATAGAATGTCAGGCCCATACATGGTTCAGAATTCACATTAAGTTCTGAGTCCTCTCTGTTGACCACATGCTTTTTTAATATCTTACTGAATGCTATCCTGCATGCACCCTCACGTCAGAAATGGATTCCTTTACTCTCATTATGTACTCAGAGCTCAACATGACCATAGAAATATCTTGCATTTTGTGGTGATATTTCTGCATGCTTTCTCTATATTTTACCCATGATGAAGTGAGAGATACTGTGCTTCACAGACCATGTTACTCTGTAGATTCCCTCAGGTGGTCATCTTATTGATCATCGCCCCTTTCTTCTCGAGTAAATGAAATCATTCCTTTGGATAGATTATATGGAGGGAGGCTTGGCAAATGCTTAGATATGTTATCACACTCTTTTTGGTGGAGTCACGCAGGTGAACAGGTTGTCTGGTCAGACAGTGCACAGAGGTATGAAGCAGGTTAGTTTGCTGCGTGGGTTTGTGTATAGCTGATCATATTGTAAGAGATGTACTGCACATTCAGTTATAGAAATTTTGCAGTCTCCGCATTGAGAGTTACCCCCATCATGCTGTTGTCTCCTCTTACCTTGAACACTTGTGTGTATTCAGCTGCCACAGATTATTAATTCATGACTATCACTCCAGAAGTGGATTATTTCCTGTCAGTTATACGTTGGCTGCAGAAATCACAGAGTACCATATATACCTGTGTATGGGTCACACTCACATATTGTTTTGCTGAGAATTTTGTTTTTAATTTGTTGCACAGATTTTTATGAAATCTACATTTTGTTACAAGTTTCTGTTTTGCTTCAAATTCATTGTATTTCATTGTGCTGTAAATATTTAGACTCTGCCATGACAAACTAAAGCATCGTGGAATGGTTTCATATGGAATTTATGGCACAAATTATCTGAAGGATCGTGATGAAGGTACATGACACTCGGGATTATTGAGTTTTTTGCATTTTGTCCATCTTCTAGTCTTCAAATAAATGCAGTGTTTCCAAAACTGAATCTTGAGGGGTTGGGAGACACCTACTTTGTCAGGTCTGTTAGAAAGAGCTAACCTCAGTCACTTAGCCATTGGTCCAATGATTGAGGTTGACTGTCTCTAACAGTCGCAACAGAGAATATGTCTCCCACCCCATCTCCTGGGGACAGAAACAGATCTAGTTTCCAAACATTGTATGTATTGGAATACCAGATGATAGACAAAGTCAGAAATCCAGTGATCCTAGATACAAATTTTGTGTTTTGAGATGGAGTATTCGCCGACAAGCAGCAGTCGCTTGGTTGGTATAGTTCGCTTGCGGATTAAAATCACAGAGTTTGTTTGTTTGTTTGTGAGTATGTTTTGAAAGTGTTTATGTTGCTTCTCAGTATTGCTTTGCATGAGACTCCCAATTCGTAATATCTTGTTTGTGGTCATAGCATTGTGTCAGGTGTAAAATTTATTTTTAAAAATTTGGGAATGAGAATGTCTTGTACTGAATTTAGGTTGCACACGTGTTTCTGATTGAAATTCTGAAATATGAATTGTTATCTGTAGTCAGGTAAATAATGGTATCTGTGATATGTAGGAAGTTTTGTTTGGAATCCTTTTGTAGTCCTTTTATAGGGAAATTGTCTTCAATGGTTTATTACAAAGGGTTTAGATATGCATGAGGGCCCCAAAATGTACATAAAATATGGGACATTGAAAGGGATGAGAAGAGACCTGTAAATACAAGGCTGAGCACTGAAACCCTACATCAGTTTTTATACCTATAAATAGTTTAATCTCTTGTTCTTGGGCACAGAACTTGAAATACTCTGTGACCAGTAAATAAGTGTGTTTGTGGTACAAAAGGTTTCAGCCTCTGCACACTTTTGTACCCAAAGTAAGAAATATACACTGTGCATAAAAAGATTAACTTGACTGGAGTTAGCATCTCAACTTACTTATTAATACTCATTTATACATTTCCTTTATTAGAAGCTTAACTGTGGCCATATATCACTAAAATGACAAAATATGTTAATAAGCAGGTGTTGTAGGAGAATACAACAAAACTCTTATGGAGAGAATCATGCCACACTTGTTAAAATTCATTTCTTTTATTCTGTGTGGTGGAGGTCAGAGTTCTTTAAATTTTTCTTCTCTGTTCCTCTATTTTTTCTGTATGTATTAAGTGTTTGTTTTGTTGTCATTTGCACAATGACATGTTCCTGTGGTATGCAAAAGATTGAGGGATGTTGTGAGAGTGTGAGAATGGCTACTTTTCGAATTTGTAATATTTGTTTTGAATATTATGAAGAATAAAATTTAACAAATATTACTTCTATATGATATTTCTTTAACTTCTACCACACTAAAAATATATTGAGTTGTAAGCAGCACAGAAGAGTATACAGACTGGAGAAAGATTGAAATATGACATTGTTGGTTTGCATAGTGTCTCAAAGGCATGATCTCAAAACGACATAGCAAGGACATTGATGATGCCATTTAGAATGTTAGTTTATGCTATTCTTTATTCTCATTCCCCTTAATCCTATATGATACAAGAGAGAACTGCTGATGCAGAATCCATTGCATGGACTCCACTTATTTTTGTTCATTCTTTCTCTTGTGTCTTGTGTTTCATGTCAGAAAGTTTGTTGAACTTATCAGGCAGTTAGCCTAAGACATAACACAACTGAATTTTATGTGGAAATATCTGGTTTGAATTTTGGCTGGAGTATCATACGTCCTGACCGAAATATTTGTATGCTTTCCCTCTGTTCATCCAGGTGAATGCTAGAAACAAACCATGAATTAGTCTGCAACAGCTTCCTTTCTAGTTCTTTCAGTTTTACTGTAAACAATCTTATTTGATACTATATAACCTCTGTAAGCTATACATCATTACATAACCTGCATTCCAATCAGGTAAGATGAACATGTTGTAGGTACTGAATATTTTGTGTTTTACCACTGAGCTACACTGAGCTGGATTTCTTCTGTCTATATTGCCTATTGTTTTTCAGTTAATGTATTCTAAAGGATTTTATACAAGCTGTTAAATGATATTATTATTTAATTCTAGTTCCTTCTCTCTTCCCCAATCCCTGTTTCAAACCTGTTTGGAATGCTTTAGCTGTTGTAATCCTGATTTCAATGTCTTTATGAGGCAGGAATTTTTCAGACTTGAATGTAATGCAAGTTGCTTAAACAAATTTGAGTATAGGTTGGTGAAGTTAATCCATTTTTCCAATTTTTGTTTATTTTTATACAGGTATAGTAGCAGGAGCTTGCAACTTGTTCAGTTTTAATACTAGCACCATAACATTTTAATAATTCTTGTTTTACTTTTTTCATTTATTTCTGATCTTTAAGGACTTCTTTGACTTGGACAGAGTCTGAAATGTTTTTTGTGAAGGTGTGTCCAAACACTACACATATCTCTTGTTCAGTCACTTTTTTCACTGAATAAACATATGATCTTGATGGAAATATATTGCCCCTTGAATTTTGGACTTGCTCTGCATGATGTTTGATTTCTACATGTTCTGAACAATTTTTTTAATATAAGAACAGTTCAAAAGTCTCCAGTGTATTGTTTACACTCTTGGTTCTATTCTGATGTCTGAAAGTACATATAAATGTTCCTTTCTGTTTCCTATAGTTTATCATTCTCCCATGTGAAGTTCAATACAGAATCCTACTGATCACTGTCATTGTTGAGCATAGTATCAGCATGAACATGACCATTAGCCCTTCACTGTCACATCATAAAAAAGACTTTGTTCTGATTCTATGTATTAACATGTTTACTGGTCAGTAATTCTTTTAGCATTGTGATTTGTTAAAGAATAGAGAAGTTGTGAGTTAATGGTTATCTCTTACACATCTTCTGTTGGATAGTTTGTGCTATAACTAATTTGTTATATAGGGTATATGTTTTATAATATTTCTGCATTTTTGTGTTTCAACTTAGTCAGTGCTGAAGGCCCACCAGATATGTTATTAAAACTGTAGGACTTCATTCTCAGTGTTTGAGAGGTGCAGCACATAGGCATGCATATAAATGCCAGGCCATCTATACTTCAGGCCACAGGATGGCTGTAACTTTAAAAATTTGCAAAATTATGCTTGGAGAAAAAGGATCATCTTTTTAATGTTCTTCTTAGTGGTCATAATTCTAAAAGTCCTTGGTGCATCATCATGATCATCATGATCATCATCATCATCATCATCACTGATGCCACCACCATCACCATCATCATCATCATCCACAAATGATTCTAGTTCTGAGGGTGCAAGTTGTTTTTCATGCACTTTCTGTCTTTACACAATATTTCCTCTTTTATAGGTGCCATGGCTGCATTTGTTCTTTGTGTCCTCTTCATCTGATTCTTCACCTTCTTCTTGACCTCAGTTTTTATTTCCATGTGTAATGTTTCATTTGGTATTCATCATATATTAGTATAATTTGGTGTTATCATCCGTGGATCTCTCTTTGGTTTCCTTCGGAGATCTATATCCTCTCCCCATCTTTCTTGTCTTTTGCATCAGCAGAATCATCATCATCATTTATTTTGTGTAAGTTTTTCCAGTAATTTTTATCATTACAGTCTTTGTAACAAACTGTGTATTGAATGTTTTGCCCAAGAAAAAATATAAGATATCAGTATTTTAAAAAGATCATATTGTGACAGCTCTTAAAAATGTTTTTTTCAGTGGCAGTTGCACTGTAAGATTTAAACTCAGTTAATCGAATCAGTTTTGTAAAATAGTGACATATGTAAAGGGACTTCTCCATTGCTAATTGTAAATGGAAAACACAAGAATTGTTGTGGTGGTACAGAAATGTGGTTTCCAAATTATACAGATTGTGCTAAAAGGTCAGCTCCTGTTCAGTAAAGAAAGCATTAGCATCCAGGAAAAGTAAATATGAGATATTATTTTATTTCGTTTTAGGGGATTATTGTATTTTAGAACTCTTGTGGTTTCACAAGTTGTATCTTTCAACAAGCATCCAGTTACTTTTTTTGATCAAAATGTGATCTGTTTTGAATCTCATATTCAAATGAAGAAATATTTCTTATTCCTTTATCAGGTTTGTTAAGGTGAGAATATTTTTCAGACATTTGTCCAACATGGAAGAATATTTTAGATTGTGACCCTATTGTATTGTGTATGTATGTCTAGTCTGTAAACCAGTATCTGTCTGATATTTTGAAGAATCCACTTCCAACAAATGCAGAGTTCATGTGGCCGTAAGGCATTTGGGTAGAAGGTTTACATTAGGAATGTTTTTGTACATAAATAAATATAAGGATAAGATAATGAACTTGTGTAAAATATGTTAATACATAAATAAATAGTTTTATCATATTCATTATATAGAGACATCCTTTCTGTTTCCAAATAGTTGTGCAATTTTTTAGGAGATCAGCGCTTTAGATTTAGTCATCCAGGTGGCTTAGAAAGGAGGTGCCAAATGTCTTGAGTTCAAAAACAGCTGGATTCACTACATTTTTTTTTTAAGGCTTTCCTTTCTTCTACTTCTGACAGCCCCTGCCATGGTTTGGTGCCCACATTTAGCTGTAACGTTTATTTACTGGGTGTTGTCATTATCATCATCAGCAGCAGCACCACGATCACCACGACCACCCTATTAATGGAGGTAGTGGAGTCTGTCTTATACATGCTTCCACCTCAAAAGTTAACTTGTTCACCATTTTTAAGTTAGACAAGGTATAAGAATGTTGAATATGTTGTAACACCGGACTTCACTCACATTGTATTTTCTGATTGAGGGGGAAAATATATAGTGACAGATTTTTATAAAAACAAATTATGTATCAGGTTTTCTGCACAGATGACCCCACAAATGTTCAGCAGATTCACTGTTTGGACATAATGAGAAGTTGAGACATTTTTGTGGATTTGGTGTCTGTGTAATGATTTGTGCATTTCTGCATACATATTTGCACAGTGACATGCTCTTTGGTTTCTCAGAATTACTGGGATTTTTGACTTTCTTCTTTGTCTCGTATTCTAGAAAATAGAAAACATGACGTTTCAGAAACTGGATCTGTTTCTGTCCTCAATTGGGGGGCGTTGAAGAGACCTACTCAGCTGGGTCACTTAGAAAGAGCTAACCTCAGTCCACTGATTAAGGTTAACTCTTTATAAGGGACCCAGCTGAATAGATGTCTTCACCCCTTCTGTCATTCGAGGACGGAAACAGATTCAGTTTCCGAAGCATCATGTTTCTTGTTTTAAAAAAATACCGGATAATGGAAAAAGTTCAAAAAACCTAGTAATTCTGAGTGTTAAACACCATCATCAGAACCCTTTATAATCTACTGTTTGTTTTCTGTTTCATCAGAATTTGTTGTCAGAGCATTTAAGGAGTTTGGACTCTGTTCTTTCATTATCACTGGTTTAGTGTCAGGGACACAGTGTGAGGGATTCAGCTTTTGAAACTTTTGACATATTGCAAGTATGCCCGTATTGTTAGCTGTTTGTTTTTTCATAGTTTGTATGTGAATGTTAAATGGAATGGTGCGTCTATAATTTTCACACTTGATTTTGCCTCTTGTTTTATACACTGAAGTGCCAAAAGTCATGGGATAGGTACCTAGTATCGTGTAGGACCCCCTCTAGCCCGGTGAAGTGCAGCAACTTGACATGGTATCGATTCCACAAGTGGACGGAAGACCTCTGGAGAGATGTTGAGCCATGCCATCAGAATAGCCGCCCACAGCTCCCTGGTATTTGTAGGTGCCGGATTTTGGGTGCAAATGGACCTCTCCACCATGTCCCATAAATGCTCGTTTGGGTTCATGTCGGGCGAACGTGGTGGCCACACCATTCATCGGAACTCTCCAAAATTCTCCTCGAACCAATTCTGGACAACTCCGGCCCGATGACATGGTGCATTGTCCTGCTGGAATATCCCATCGTTGTGGGGGTACATGAAATCCATGAAGGGCTGCAAATGGTCACCAAGCAGTGTAACGTAGCGGTCACCGGTCAATGACGTGTTTAGGTGGACGAGCAGACCCAACTCATGCCACGTGAACACACCCCACACCAGTATGGAACCACCACCAGCCTGCATGGTGCCTTGTCGACAACTGGGGTCTGCGCCACACCCGAACCCTACCCTGAAACAACTGGTACCATGACTCATCGGACCACACCACATGTTGCCAATCCTCCAGGGTCCAATTAACAACGTCACAAGCCCAGGTGAGGGGCTGTGTCCAGTGTCGTGGTGTTAACAGAGGCACTCTGGTCAGTCTTCTGCTCCCATATCCCATGGAAGCTAAAGAACGCTGCACT